ACACCAAGCTTTACCTAAGGTACCCAGGGACCTCAAGCTATTACTGCCACCGCCTTAATCGTCCCCCGCTTGACCGCAAGACGAACCTTCAAACAACGGTAAACTTTCTCTTCCCAAGATCCTCGCGAGAAACGACTGCAAAACGCCCTACTACCATAATGACCTCTGCTGAACCCGTTGCCGCGCCTGCTCAGCCCTCTGACCCTCCCGCAAAGCGAGTAAAGACCGCCTCCGACGACGCACCCGTCCCCGCCGCCATGGAGCCCTGCCCGCCTCTCCAGGTCAAGAAGCTATCGGATAAGGCTCGCCTGCCTACCCGCGGCAGCCTCTACGCCGCCGGCTACGATCTCTACGCCGCGAAGCCGACCACCATCCCGGCCCGCGGCAAGGCCCTCGTCAGCACCGACATTGCCATCTCCGTCCCGGCCGGCACCTGTACGTACCTGAACTTCGAGAAAGATAGGCATGCCGGCAGAAGAAAGCTAACAAGAAATCCTCCGCAACAGACGGCCGCGTTGCCCCTCGCTCCGGTCTCGCCTCCAAGAACTTCATCGACACCGGCGCCGGTGTCATCGACGCGGACTACCGCGGCGAGGTCAAGGTCCTCCTCTTCAACCACGCCGACTCCGATTTCGAGGTCGCTGAGGGTGACCGTATCGCCCAGCTCGTCGTCGAGCGCATCTTCACCCCCGAGATCGTCGAGGTCCAGGAGCTCGAGGAGAGCGTGCGTGGCGCCGGCGGCTTCGGCAGCACTGGCGTTGCTCTGCAGTAGATACAAATCTACTACCCCGATATAAAATGGAAGAGAGGAGAACGAAGCATGGCGGGATGAGGATATAAAAGAGGCAGGCTAGACTCGAAAGAGAGCACCGTGGCACATACCGCACCCACCGTCACGCACCGGATGGGGAAAGCTTATAGAAAGGGGTAAACCCGACTGAACAATATATGAATGATGACAATGCTACGACCATAATGCCTTTAAATCTATCCCAACCACGCCGCACATGCAGGTGAACTATAACCCCCATTCTGTATAAGGAACATTTACCTCTTTCCCCGCCAACATCTACAACTTCTTCGCCCGGAAACTCACGACTGGGTCCCTCAAGCACGCCAAGTTCCTCACCAGCTTCAGCTCCGCGCTCTTGCTCTTGAGCAGATGCAGCTTCTTCTTCTCCTCCTCCGTCGAGGCCTCCGCCGCCGCGGCTCCCACAGCCTCCTGCATGCCCCGCGCCGTCTGCGTGAGCACCTCATGCATGCTCGCGAGCACCATCTCCGCCGCCCTCGCCAGCGGCAGGTCCAGCGCGTCGACCTCGGGCCCGCTCAGCCACGACCTGATCTTCTGCAGCTGGCTGCCGGCGGCGATGACGGCCTCGCGCATGCGCACCGTCATCAGCGCCGCGAACATGTCGCCCGTGCCCGAGAAGTAGGCGTCGATGGCCGGGAAGACGATCTTGAAGAGGCGGGGCGCGCCCGTCGATGGGTCCATGCTCGAGCCCACGACGGACAGGTGCGAGGGCGGGTGGTCCGGCGCGGCGAGGTTGACCGAGGTGATGACGACGTGCGGGATGCGGAATTTGCTGTGCAGTGCGTGGATGGCGGACTGGAGGGAGTCCATGTCTGTGATCTTGACGCCGGAGAGCAGCCTTTTTGCAGGTATCAATATACGTATTCTCTCACATCACGGGGAAAACAATAACTTACTCGGCCTCAAACTGGTTCGGCAGGATCAGGTCCGCGTGCTCCACGAGACTCTGGTACGCGGGCACCACCTCCTCAGCGACGTAGAGCTTGCCGTTGTCGCCCATCACGGGGTCCAGGACCCAGAAGAAGCTGCCGTCGCCCGACTTGGCCTTGAGCTCCTTGGCGATGTCGCCGACGGCCATGACCGCCTCCGCGCCGGGGATGTAGCCTGAGAGCATCATGTCGAAGTCATCCAGGTATGACTGCTTCAGGCCCTCAAACAGGTCGCGGATCTCCTGCGCCGAGACCTTTGTCCCTTTCCATTGGCGGTAGCCGGTGTGGTTGCCTTATCGTTCCGGCATATCGTTAGCTGCGTGACACACATACATAGGCAAGTTGGGGAAAGGGGGTGGACAGACTGAACTGAACGGTGTTGAGGGCCGCAACGTCGCAACCTAACGACTGCAGCGTGAAGACGGCGATCTTGTTTCCCACGTTTCTGCATGTTGTGTGTCAGCGCGCATTAACTCCTCGCTGATGCGCTCGGTTGGGTCTGCAGCGACTCACCCAGATACGACCTTGGATCATAAGTCAGTCACCCTATATGCGGCATGAGAGAGATCGGGGAGTGATGAGCGCCTCACATGACTAGCGACGGCAAGGACGCGCGTATCGGGAATAGGAAGGTCTGGTGCCATTTTGAAAGCCTAAAAACAAAGAGTATCCCGAGAAGAACCAATGACTGTTCTACGTGTGTGTGTCTAGATCTTCTATGATTCGGCGCAGATCTCAGATATCAAAATGCACCTCCGGATCTCGGCGGTGGGGATGAGATATCGGGACAGCGGCCGATGCGCGGCAATGATCAGTTTCAAACCAGAGTAAAGGGGTATAACGAAAGATATGAGTGAACAGATCGAAAGAGGCGCTCTACGAGTCAAATGAAGAAAACGCAAATAGAGGCGGGGTCGATTATCAGTGGAATTCCCAGTATCTACCAGATTTTCGAGCCGTATCTGTAGTTGGCCGTAAAAGTGACTAAGTGAGATTAGACTTGGACCGATGTAAGGCGGTTCCAGGTTCTTCTAGCCTCTGACTCTCACGGTATGACGTTCCGCACCGTCCAATCCGATATTTTTCAAGGGTCCCGTCTGAATGGAAAATGACCCCGCCAAAAGGGCGCCGAAGAACCCCGCACTAGGCCATGTTTGGAAAGTTGGCAGACATTAAGGAAGTCTGCAGCTGCGGCCAGCTGGCGACTGGTCGTCGTCTCAAAGGTCAATCCATTGTCAACAAAAGCACAGTTGGAGTCACGCAATTGTATACGCAGAAACGGTAATCTCATTATTGTTCGTGGTCCCAAAGATGCTTTTGCCCTTCGTCTACCAGCATATTCCGCAAGAGTCTCTAGAACATGCAAAAAGTCAATCCAGAGTGCATGAGCAGGCACCAATGCCTGTCTCTGCTTCCGTGCAACGCCCGCATTAAAATCTTCATGCCATCGTCAATCGCCAATTTACTCCTCGTCACCAATCTGTAGCCTAATTAGCATCTGTACTCCAAAAGCGTTGTTGAGAATGACGTACCTTCGGCGCCAGGTAGAAGCGCAGGTAGCTCTGGCCCACCAAAGTGTACTCAACCAGCAGAGGGACCTCGTTGGACAGGCAGATCTTGACCTGCTTGGACATGGCGGCGGCCTTGCAGAAGTTGACGAGGTACTTGAGGGAGAAGGTCAGGGAGACGGGCTCGGTAAGCTCAATGTCGACGTTCAGCTCGGGCTTGTCGACGTTGGTGTGGCTGCGGAGGGTCACGGATCCGTTACCAATGTCGCCAGTGCAGGCAAACTTGACACCGTCCTTGCTCGCGTCGATCGTCACTGTAGGTAGATTTGTCAGTCTTTGTACATATCAATTGCCCGCACACCGACTACTCACCGGACTCGCTCATGGCCTGCAGATCTCCGCAAATACGCTTGAACTCGGAGCTGGGCATGGTGATGGTGGCGGCGTACTCCGTCTCGGGGATACCAAGGTGCTCTTGGTCGATATCCATCAGCTTGAGGTCGTACTCGCTGATGCGGTCGTGCTCCGAGCTCTCGAAGACGATGTTGAGGCTGTCGGGGGCGTCCTCGGCCTTAAGCGTCAGGACATCCTCGCCCTGGGCGGCACGGAGAACCTTCTGCAGAGAGGCGAGGTTGAGGCCAAGCGCAATGTTGCGGTCGCAGCGGTAGGGGGAGAAGGCCTCGGTCTTGAGGGCCATGGACACGAGCGCGACGTGCGAGTTGTCCATGGCCTGCAGCATGATGCCGGAGTCATTGCAGTCGAAGTTGCAGTCCTGGACAAGCTCTCTGATGGATTCAACCACCTTCTTGAGGATGTCGGCCTGGTCGAGTCTGGCTTCAAGCATTTCTGCACAATGTTAGCCGTGTGTCACAACTCCGCATGAGACAAAAAACGGTGAGCGAAAAGGCAGAACAGAACGTACTGGCTGATTATTTGCGTGGAAAAAGAGGAGATGGGGTATCTGGAAAACCAAGGAAATGTACGACGAAGCGCAAAGATTGATCGTGAGCTTTGGCAAAAAAGTTGAGTAGTCGAGGTGATGGTTAAGAAGGAGAAGTCGCGAAGCACTTTAATGGGCAGACACGTAGCGCGTGGTCGTGGTGGGCTGGAGTGGAGGGGAGACGCGTCCAGCCTTCAGTAGGGCTCGACGCCAATCTAACGCGCGCGGGGCAGGAAGAATCAATGATTGATGATGGCACGTGCGCCTTCTACCGACGTAAGGCAGCCTGGAGCTGATAAGTAAGCTGCTAGAGGTAGGCACGCTTGACCTCTCTGAGGAAACTGGCCCGGGCTCACCGGACTCCCAGCGGACTCCATGCTCAGGGGCTTGAGATTCCCCTGAATCGTGGCCCCTTTCCTTTACCCTGCCAACTGGAGTCCTTTGTTTAATACATTTGAGACAAAACATTGGCAACAACAATGAAAGTGCATTTGGCAACTGGTCACAAGCGCAGTTGGTTATTCATTCGAGACTTTTCAATTATCTTAAGATACTAAGTAGTCTGTACAGTTTTGGGCTCGCTGAAGAGCCTGACATCAACGTCGTCATAAAGTACAAATGAATGATTTCAGTGAACGATGCCTCCTGTCCCTGAGTTCCATGGCCCCTTCTATATGCAGTCGGCAAAACGAGAGTGTTTGCGCGAATTAAGTATCAAACAATAAAGGGAAAATAAGGCAAAAATGACTGTACGATTAGTTGGTTTCCTGTTCCAAAACGCCCATGGTCTGTCGTTAATTATCATGTTCTCGTCACATCGAAACGATGCGTGACGGATTGGTCCCTGCGCGAGGGCGGGGTCGTAGGTTGATGACCATCTCGAGCTCCTTGAGCATGCCCCTGTTTGCATCCGCTTTTTCTCTGAGTGATTCTCGCTTTTCTCGATCTTCCCTCATCTTGATGATGCGTTCCTCTCTGGTAAGCAGACTTTTTGGCCGTGGCAGGGCGACAGCCTCGAAGATCTCTTCGGTGTCGGGTTCGCCTGTGCTGCTGAAGTGTAAACTCGATGGCGACTCTCCGTTGAGCGCCTTCAGAGCTTCAGCAGCGCCTCCTTCTTCCACAGTTGTAAGCCCGCTTAGCGAGCTAGCAGGAGACAGCAAGGTGCTCATAGACGAGAGCCTCTTCTCATTCCGGTCAATGCCCACTGCAAGGGCTGCTTTGCCTTCCTCCCAAGCCTGCATCAGGATCTTCAAGTCCGCGCCAATAGATTCGTACTGAGCCATGAGATCGGAACCAAGCTCGGAAATGTCGTCGGATTCGTTGAGACTGCGGTCCGACTCCTCTCGAAGCAGTGTCAACTTCGCTTGAAGACCGCGGATCCCACTGGATAGGGAATTAAGCTTGCGCAATTGTGATCTCCATCTCTCCCTGCCGGGTGTCAGGGGCATCTTTGGAGTTGGCGGTGCCGGGAATGCTTCGGGAATGTTAGCCTTTGGTGGTCAGATAATGACTGCTCGTAACTTACACTCTTCCTCACTCAAAAGTCTCCTCAGCCTCTCGAACGCAGTCTGTGTAACCGTGTTGAGCGTGCGCACCGCTTCGACCGTAGTTGTCCACCTCAGCAGGTCGCTGCTATCACCACTTGCGTCCAAGGCCAGTAGCGCACACAAAAACATCTTACGGATGGTGTGGAACCGTGCGGCGAGAATCTTGAGCGTCCGCAGGGACTCGGGGTCGTCAAACTCATTTTCCTTGAACCCCAATTTGGCATCCGACATGTCGAAGTCGCTTATATCGTAAATATCGTAGTACTTCTCCAGGTCGAGCTGCTCCGAGAACCCCTTGACCACAAGCATGGTCTGATCGTAGGCTGGAATGACATCTGCAAAGCAAGCCTTCAAGGCTTTGCGCAGGCGCACGCACTTCCGAGTCTGTGAGCGGTCTTCGATGCGACTGATAGGCGGCAGTGGCGCACTCCTAAACCATGTGTCAGCGCATACAAGCCTTTTTTCTCCATCATCGTCGGAAAAATTAGGGAAAAAACCAAACTTACAGACGGTAGCCTCTGGACACAAGTTCCACCTCTTGTACCAATGCGACGGCCGCGCCAGTCGCGCTGTCGAATTCCTGAGAGTTTGAAACAAACGCAGTGACCTCTGACATTGCTTGCAGCCGTCTATACCTCAACCACTGCCTCCGCATAAACACATGGACGATCCCTGCAGCGATCACGGCCACAAACAGAATTACCGCAACCCATTTCTTGTTCCAAGTTCCCGAACCTGCGAGCCAGTTGATCGTGACGGCCAAAGCCAAGGCGCTCAAGACTGCTGCGACAGCGCCTGTTGAGTCCAGCAACTTGTCGGTCGAATTGCCGTCAATCGGAGGGTTGGCAGGCCGGGATGATGCATGGTGCTGGGATAATATTGAGTGTCCACTCAATAGCTGGGATGCGATAATGGTATAGCGAAATTGCTCGAGGAATTTGGAGTTGTCGGCTCGGTCAATCCTAGACGCTACCGCAATCTGAAAGAGGACACACAACACCGGTCAGTAATTTCCCCATGTGACACGGAAAGGGGATTTCGGGTGTTGCGCACTGAGTAGCTCTTTCTGTAGGACTTGTCGGTGGAGGACTTGGTCGGAATGTTTATCTGTAGAGGGTTGTTGCGAAATCTCGACCTGACCATGGGCCGACCTGTCGGCGCGAATTCTGGGCTCGAGGGAGGTGACAAGTCGTAGTTTGGAGGATCCTCGTGCGCCCAATCTGCCTGCTCGTTTTCGCCTTCATCTGTCGAGCGCACATCGTCAGTCGCAGTTCTAACGAGCACTTGGGGCGCGGTTTCTTCGCGGGGACTGGACTCACCACGAAGGTACTCGGCGAGCGGCGACTGGTCGAACACAACGGGCTCCATCTAGCGACCTGGCGACAAGTTTCGTTTCGACGAGGCACTTGCAAGCAACACGGCCATCTGCGGTCGCGCTCTTCAGTAGTCGTGTTGCCGCAGCGTCGTGGAATCGTAACGGAAAGGAAACGAGGGGCAGTTGCAAATAGAAACCATGGACAAACTCAAGTGGGAGACGCAAAACATGTGCAATGAGTGTATGGACGGTGCCTCGGGGATATATACGGTTCGTGTAGGATACGTAGTGTGATTGCGGAGTGTGTTGCACAGGGGGGGTGGGAAGGGAGAGTTGGAACACTGCTTGTGCTCCAAAGCGCCGACCTGCCAGTGACCAAAGTGACCTGCTGCCACTCGCGAATGGGGAAGGATCCCGCACCCCTGTAACCGATTAACGTGCAAGGGGTAAGTCGCTGTTTTTGGGGTCTTCAGTGGGGTGGATCTTAACGACATCCACCTCACTCACTCTCTGAGAAACCGACACCGACGGCCACGAGCCATCTTCACCTGACTCCCAGAGGATGAGTTTTAGTCTATATCAACCGCCCAATAATACTTGCAGGGGAATCCGATCAATAACGCACTACAAAGAGACCGTTGGTCTTTTTACCAGGGGAGAATGGACCTTACTTACAGCCACTTTCTTGGGGTCAAAGGGATGAGTCGGGCCTAGCGACTAGACCCGTTAGCTACGAGCTACCTACTTTCTCTCTCTGTCTTACTCTGTGATACGTTCGATCGTCACCGCAGTCCTCCTTCTCGTTATTATTTATTGATACCGTACTTCATGTCACCCTCGCTGCACTCGTCATTTTTACCGTCCTCTCTGTCGTCCTCTGTCGCTCTTGGCCATTGGTGTCATTCAAGACGCTCCTGTTGGTGGGGTGACTGCAGATGATCGACCCAGCCAACGAAGCGAACGGTGAAGAGAGCACGCCGCGCCGCGCATCCCGTATGTACCACGTACTTTATTAACGTGGTATTATTTGCATAGTTTTTAAATTTGGTACATGGGACGACACGGGGCGGAGCCGAGACCGAACTGGGGGCCCCTGGCGCTAACGCAGGTAGGAACATTGTTACACCGGAATCCGGAATCCAGGTCGGGCCCGTCTGAAGGCCCCGTCGGGTAGGCGAATTGAGTTAGATGGCCGTTAGGCGCATTACCTAATCTTACCCGCCTAGCTGAAGCACAGCTCTACCACGTCGAGCAAGGCAGACATCACGACGACGGCAGCACGATCGCGAATCCCCAATCCCGGTGTCGCCCCAGACGAACCAAACCCCCAAGCGAAGCTGCAATCCCGCACGCAACAACCGCAGCCATGCCGACCGAACGCGACTACCAAATCTCTCCGATCGTGCAGGAGTCCGTGATGCACAACACAAAGGTGGGATACAAGCTTCCCCGAGGCGGGTTGGATGGATGGATAAATGGGCGTGCTCTCTGGCTGTTGCGACTTTTTGCTAACTCTCTGTTTCCACCCACGCCAGGCCCTGTCAAATCTGCAAAGTCTCACAGCGTCCCTGTTCGGCGTCGCCGCCGGCATCCTCGGGCTCGAATCCTACAGCGGCTTCCTCTTTTACATCCTCTTCTCGTTTCTCACCGTCCTCCTCGTCTACGTCTTCCACATCGCGCCGCAATCGACTGCTGCAGGACTTCCGTTCCTCAGCACTAGCCGGTACTTCAGGGGGCCTTTCGAGTTCTGGACCGGTGGATTGTTTGCTGGGCTCCCGGGTTTCATCCTGACCTGGACACTCTTCTATGGCCTTGTAAGGGCATGATGACGGCATCGTGAAGTGTGGGAGTGCTTGGCGTCTGGGCGTTTACAGGAAGTCGTCTATTGCTGGAATAAAACTACAGAGGAAAGAATACATCGATAATGAGGAAAGAAATCGACGAAGACGAAATCAAAGCTAGCATGACGCAGTAAACAAAAGTACAACGCTCTTACGGCGAAATCCAATATTCAAAACCAACGCTTGTCGCTCGCGAATCAATCAACAATCTCCACCACAGTTCCGACGAATCCTTCAAGCCCAGACTTATCATTGCGGCCACCTTCGAGGAGCAAGATTTGTGAACCCATCTCAACCCACTCCCGGCTAGTCAGCAACTCCAATGTTACCTGGACGCCCCCAACGAGTTCCGAGTTTGTCATGGACTCATCGTGATCGTTCATGTTGAAAATGTCTTCCCCGTCATCGGCTGATTTCATGGCCTGCTCGTGGCGCACTCTTGACACTCCCATGACTCTGGCGGCTGCTCGTACGCTTCCAACATAGAGATTTACTAGAGATCCATAGGTCAGGAACGCCGTGTTTGGCTCTTGGAATAACGCTGTCAATCCACTCGCGGCCTGGAGAGACATTCCTGTATCCACCATGTGCTTTGATGGGATTGCCAGGACCATGCCTTTCCTGATGCGAGGTGCATTGGACAGCCGCTCAAAATCACCCTCTGTGAGGCTCTCGGGCGGCATATCCAGAACGATCCCAATGGTGCCAACTTGGCCGGCTTCAAGGGTGTTAACCGGAAGCCTCAGGTTGCGGATACTGACTATCTTCGCCTTGTGCCATTCTCCCTTAATAGTCGAGGCCGCGACCGTGTTACGTATCGCGATCTTGGCCAGCTCTGCGGAAGAGGGGTGGGATATTGACAAGCCGTAGTTACCTGGAGAGGGCCTATCCTCTGGTGTCATGCCCTTGAAGTCGTCATCGCCCGAAGGAAATGGCCCAACCACGATGGCGTCCCCCACGGAGAGCTTTCCGAATCTCAAATAACCCGACACTACAGTTCCAGTGTCATTCTGGTTGGGATTCTCAGCAAGAGAGGCATAGGACGCAGGTAGACTAAAGGTGTCGTCGACGTGGAATAGGCAGGAAGGCTGCTCCGGGTTCAGGGCCATCCCCACAAAGTCATGCGCAGTCGGCACAGGTGGTAATGGGAGATTCTCCAAGAGGGCATGGGCCAACCCTATGCCCGCACCACTGACGGCGCTGGTAAGGACGATGGGTATGTGCTTGAGCAAGTCTCCGCTCTGCTCCATTTCGTTGGTGAGAACTTGGGCCTTGTTGAGCTCTGCCGAGGGAATTCTGCTCCATTCCTGAGCACCACCTGCGGCAGGTTGCAGGATCTTGGGAACCCGGCCAATCTCTTTGACATGTGTCAATACTTGTCCTAGAGTTCTCTGCAGACTAGCTTTGGTTGCCAGGTCAAGTTTCGTGATGATAATGACCAGAGGTGTCTTGAGTTTTAGGCACAATTCCAGATGGGCTTTTGCGAGGTCTACACCTGCGCCTGCGATTCCGAGGACTTCGTTGGCCGTCGAACTGGCACCATCCTTGGTAGAGCTGGCTTCATTGTCGTCGGCGGCCAAACACAGAACCGTCCATTGGGGAGCCCAGCCAAACAACCCTCGGAGAATGGTGCGGCGGTATCGGGGATGCCCGGCAGAGTCGGAGACAAAAACCAGACGGCCATTTTCGGCGCTGTCGTGGATATCAATCCATGATTCGACATGATCCTGGGAGAAGTTGAAGATGGCGTGATCCTTGTACCCAATGAGCTCTTGGGCTACTGAGCTGGTCAAGCCGGAGGCGACCTCATGGCGATGCTTGAAAAGACTGATACGACTCTTCCCACGCCCGTTGTCGAGAGTTCCAGTAGACAATGTCCCCAGAAGAGTAGATTTGCCAGACGTTGTTGGCCCCGTGAGCGTTATCCTAAGCTGGTCGGTCGTAGAACGACCCCTGCTTGGTAACACAACAGGCTCGTTGGCTCTAGGAGACTGCTTGACCTCCCGATGGCCACTCTCGGGGATTTCTGCAAGAGAATGCTTGGCTGAGAAGTCCGGAGTCACCAATGCCTCAACCACCCAGAGCCTCGCTTGTCGTCCAATCTGGGCCGGCTGCGATGCTACATTGTCCACCAATTCGGATGTTTCCAGCCACTCGCATTCTCCCACGATGACATGACGAAGAATTTCGACTCTACAGCCCAGCGTGGCCGCCATCACCCTAAGAGTTGTAATACTCTCATCCATCTCGTCCTTTGTCAATCCCACCAGGGTTCCGTCGTCAGCCACTCCAATCTCGTACAGAGCACCGCGAGATTCTTCCAGTCCCGGGAGCGGTTTCTGCGGCGTCAACGCCTGACTCAAGTCGGCCGTATCATCAGGCAATTTGGGAACAATCAAGTCTTTGGGGTTCAAGGCATGGTAGGCACAGGACTGCTGCAATCTCCACAGAAGCTGCGTCGTCAATTGCTGCAGGCGCACCTGGCGACTCTGGCTCGATGCAGATAGAGCCGCAGGCATAACCTTGGCAGGTCGCGTCGCGGAAGCAGAAGTCTTGGGGTGCTGAGAAGGCGGCTTGCCAATAGTGCTCATTGAAGTGTAAGTCCGTCTCGGTCGGAGGAGCAAGTGAAGCTTGTACTCAGTTGGTCCCTCCTGAGGCTCTGCTTCCAGTTTGGTGACTCCATAGTCAGAGAGATGGCCAGGCTGAGGTTCCCCATTTTCCGAGGGAGGTTGAGACTTTGGTGTCCTTCCCAGCTCTTCCGGAGCCAGCCACGGGGAGGAGACCCGTTGAGGGTCAGTTTCGAAGGTGAATATTGATCCGGAGGCCATGATTGATACTCAGGCGGTGGTAGGTTCAGTAGCGGATTCTATATCCGTAATGTCGATAATGGACAAGGCCAATATGGGTATAAGCGTGTTTTGTGATGAGCTATTGCGGGAACAAAGGTGGAATGACGAGTTGCTATACGCGGGATCATCTTGAAAGCTGAGGTAAAGGTTGCTTGAGGCGGTGATTCAAGGTCAGGCGTCGTTGACGACTAGTGATGGCTGGATAGAGCTCAACTAGAAGTCTAGTTGGAGGCCATTGCGAATTCTTGGGTGAGTTCAGGTCGATAGGTGATGCTGTAGAAGCGGGAGGTGGCAACCGTTAAAGGCGCATATGAGGCGTGGCGAGTTGTTCGGTTGAGGACGTTGAAGTTCTCGAAAGACGGTATGACTCGGAGACGGTGAGGTCTCAGCCAAGGTGTGACGCAGCGAACGTGGGTGGACAGCTAGGTGGGATCAAAGGGTCCTTCCTGTCTGGTGGCTTGACCTTGCCTGCGCTGCGGAGAAAGTGCGGGTAACCTACTAGCGCATTCTGCCCGCGGTGAATCACTCCCCGGAACCCACAGCCGGAGCTGGTTCCCAGTCTGGTAGGAAGGACCAGCGCCGCTTTCCCAAGCCAGCATTCTCCTTCCTCAAGGTAACTTCATGATGCTGATACTCGCTGCTGACAATGATGATGTACAGGGAAAAAATTGCACTTGAATCTAGTGAAGGCTTCTGTTGTCTGTAACTTACCAAGTGAATGTCTACCGATGGGCAGTACGGACAGGCAAAGGCGTGATGTCAAGTCATGACATCTTAAAAGCGGCGGTACCAATTGCCGTATTGCAGGTGAGGTCTGTCTCCCTCACTGTCACTGTCTGACTTGTTGCTGCAGACTTTGGCCCCACTTGGGTACCAAGGCTCCTGGCAGCAGGCTAACCTACCCGCGACCGCCTGCCTGCTCCTTGCTATTTCTGCAAGCACTAGGTGGGAGATGTACCTCGGTACTTCTTCACCCCAACACGCACCCAGGGTCTTTCTGTCGCTGGGCTGTTTGGCTGCCCCTCCTGGAACGGGTACGCTGGATAGAACATGGTGTTGAAGAAGTGATGGAGCACTCGACGGAACTCATTGGTTTTCGAAGATCACCCAGGTCCGCTGATCTCCCTTCTCCTTTTTGACGAGATCAGATGCGGACCTCTTTCTGAAATTGAGCGGGTTACTCTCTGCTGAGTATCTGCTGAATATGGTGCAGCCGACGAAGAGGCTGGCATGAGTATTTTTATGCTTTCGTGGACGCAAGACAAACGCGCTCAGCTTACTCATGCTTAAGACCGTCTGTATTACTGCATATGCGAGGACCTTGGTTGCGGATAAGACAAGCCCGGAAGACAAAGCTGAGCTGAAAATATCAAGACAATGGACGAGGAACACGAACGTCCTTGACGCTAGACCCGAGGCTGAGCCAAGTATGCAGCGCCGTCATAGGCTCATGGCGGCGGCCATTCTTTACAGCCCACTCTGCGCCATAGAAACATTCCAATTGTCGGCTGCCTACCGACGGGAACTGACTGACAGCGGCCACTTTTAGAGCGTGGACCGTCTCTTTCTCGAAATCGCGAATCGCTCCCCGCCAGATGCAGATGCAGCGCTGAACCCAGCTCAGTCGCATGTCTAGCACTTGTTCCAGACGACCTGCACAATTAGGCCGCGCTGTTCGCTGACTGCCCCTAACCCCTCTGGCCCAGCCCAATCTTTTGCCCATCTCAGTCAGGTCCTAAACAGCCTGGCCTGACGAATGTTTTATGGCTTAGACCCTGAGGGGCGCATCCGCTCGCCTTCGAAACACACCCAAGACGGTCCCGATTTTGCCACATAAAGCTGCAATAAGCCCGCAGTCGGTAGGCGGTACTTGCTTCCAATCCTAGGTACCTGCACCTGCAACCCCCCTGCCACCCGCGCTCGCCGTCTCCAGTAATTGTCCTGTCCATCCTCTGAGGGTTGCCTCTGCTACACCGTGTCCGTCCTTCAAATCTTCTCCTGATCTCCTTTCTTACCTTTCTAGATTAACTTTCTGCAGAGCACGTTGCCTCGTGTTTTGCTTCCTTCCAGAATACCTCTACGATCGTATTTCGGCCGTTGCCCAGCTTCAACACCCCACCCATCGACAATTTAGCATACAATCCCAATTCCGCCTCCAGTTATCATGAAGAAGTTCGGCTTTGGTAAGAAGAGCGGCGGCGACGACGGCGACGACGCCAGCCGCTCTGCTCTCTTCGGCAGCAAGAAGAACAAGTCCCCCGCACCCGGCTCCGACAACCCATATGCTCAAGCACCCGCTGGCAACGACCCCTACGCCCAAGATAACAACAAGTATGCCAACATGACGCCCTACCAGGCCGCACGAGCAGGAAACACTGCTCCTGGCGGTGTGCCCGGTGGCCTCCCCAGCGGACCTCGCGCTGGAGGCGGCTACGGCGCTCCTCCCCAGCCTGCGGGAGGCTACGCAAACGAAAAGTACGGCGCTGCTGGTGGCTACGGAGGCAACCGCTACGACAACGCCAACCAGAACGCATACGGAGCGAACAACTATACTTCCGGCGCTGCTGGCGGGGCTCGCGGTCCCGGTGGTTACGGAGGTCTGGGCCGAACCAACAGTAACGATACCGACGCTCAGCGTGATGAACTTTTCGGAGGAGCTCAAGATCGCTACCAGCAGAAGCAGCAGCAGCAACCTGGAGGATACGGTAACGACGCCGCTTCTGGCGCCGGCGGGGGCTACGGTGGTTATGGAGAGAGCCGCGAGCTGACGGCTGAGGAGCAAGAGGCCGAGGAATACCGCGCTACCAAAAACCAAATTAAGGATGTCAGAAATGAGTCAGTCAACACTGTCAATCGAGCTTTGCAAGCTGCTATGCAAGCTGAGGAGACCGGTCGTTCGACATTAGCCAGACTTGGAGCTCAGGGAGAGCGTTTGCACAACACGGAACGAAACTTGGACTTGGCTGCGAACCACAACAAGGTTGCGGAGGATCGAGCCAAAGAGCTGAAGACCCTCAACCGAAGCATGTTCGCTGTTCATGTCAGTAACCCCTTCACGTCCAAGTCTCGCGCGGCAGCTCGCGACGAAGCCGTCCTTGAACGCCACCGCCAAGAGCGGGAGACTCGCGAAAACACGAGACGCGAAGCGTTCCAGTCCAACCAGCGCATGGAAGAAGCGTTCAAAGAGGTATCTTTGTCTGGTCGTCCTCAGCCAAAGTTGGGACAGAGAAGTCAAGCCGAGCGATCCAAGTACACGTTGCCCGATGATAGTGACGAAGAAGGTGCTGCGGAAGCGGAAGATCAGGAGAGGCAGATTGACGAAGGTCTTGACTTGCTCGGCGGTGCCGTTGGTCGACTGAATAACTTGGCCAGAGCTCAGGGCGAGGAGGTTGCAAGACAAGACACCCTTATTTCTAGAATTGGCCAGAAGGTAAGATTGCTCTTGTTTTCAAGGTTTCATCTTGGTCACTTGGCTAACCAGTTTGATAGAGCGATGCCGTGGACGATTCAACGAGGATGAACAGAGAGCGCCTGAACCGCATCAAGTAGACGAATGCCGTCAATATATCGCCAATACACAGTATTGTATTTGGTCTGTGAAAAAGAAAGAGATGGTTTCTTGGGCTAGCGTTGACCATAGACCAACCCTGAACCCAATCGCAGCGGGATGATTGAATGGCTCAGGTTGTGGCTAGATGTCCTCCAACTTGTATACCTCATACGCCGGGACCTCGAATGGGTGCGCGCTATAGAGACTTTTGTCAATAAATTCTTCGAATATGTTAAGAAGTGTGAATCATGTACCTCTTCAGAGCTGCCACTGCAGCTTTCGCGACGTCCCTTCCTGCACACATGACCTCCACTTTGTACTCAAGTAGTTGCTCAAGCTGGTCGACAGCGCCGGTGTGAGGAACCGCGCCTGCAGCAGCGACGGGCATGAATTGACCCTGGCCAGTAATCTGGAAGGCAACTTGAATATACTTCCCCTCGTCATACACGCCGGCGCCGCTTTTGAAGACCGCATCCTTGGTCGCGACCAAGTGAGAAGCTGCGAACAGAAGATCACATCAGTCAACGCCGTATTGAATATGCAATATGATAATTGATGCCTACCTGGAACGGTCCAGTGAAGCTTATATCGTTCAGTCATAGTCATGGTCGAGGTGATGTGTCGTGGAAAAGATGTAGACAGCCTGATCTTGTTGCTGAGGGGGGGTCTTATACCAACGCAGGAGAGGGGAAGTACATGAGGGTGACGCAGCATGCGATTACTGCGCAGAGCTCCGCTAGCAACTGACATCCGAACCGGCATAGTATCTACAAAGATAGCAGCGAGTAATGCGATTGCTTCCGGTTTACGGCTACATGTTATTCAGAATTATTCGTTCGTTGACTGCACCAGCCGTACATACCTCTTTCTGAGATAGCACAGTGCAGCCCTGTAGAAATGCGGGGCATATCGCCGAATCGGGGTCCCGACGAAAGCCGGGGTGCAGGGGGACCCTCAAAAATTCTTACAACGGCTGTCACTCAACGTCAGGCGGCGACTGCTGCTTCTGATGATTTCTTCCAACATCACCTCATAATGTCACCAAAACCTGATGGCGAGCGCGCCGCAAAGAAGAGGAAAATCAACGACAAAAATGTCATCAAGGTTGGAAATAAGGTGATCTCCTTGGAGGGCTACTTGAACCCCCCTGCCAAAAAAGAGGCACCCAAAAAACAAGAACCACAAGAGACGCCCAAATCCACGGAAAATGAGGCAACGAAGCCAGTATCGAATCAGCAAGACCACCTCAAGAAGTCTGTTCCGCCATCTGGAAAGCCACAGTTCAAAAAGCCCTTCGACAAAGGAAGGCCGAAGATAGACCAACGAGGACCGAGATGGAGGGACGACCCAGATTTACTGAAGGTCCGGCAAAAGCTACCAATCTGGGCTCATCGACAAGAAATTCAGGCGCGTATGCGTCAAAGCGATGTCCTTCTCCTCGTTGGTGAGACTGGTTCTGGAAAGAGTACCCAGGTGCCCCAATTTTTGGTGAAAGAACCGTGGTGCAAGAGGCAGACTGTCAGCATCGAAGGCGAACGAGAATGCAGTGTCGGCGGTATGATTGCGGTCACCCAGCCGCGTCGAGTCGCCGCAACTACGCTTGCCCACCGTGTTTCTCGCGAAGCAGGAACTCCACTCGGCGAGAGCCGCGAGGGTATGGTCGGATACTCGGTTCGCTTCGACCATCAAGTACCTAAAGGGACGAAAATCAAATTCCTCACCGAGGGTATGCTGCTGCAGGAGCTGCTTCGAGATCCTAGTCTACGACAGTACAGCGCGGTCGTGGTGGACGAAATCCACGAGAGAAGCGTCGATGTCGATCTCGTCTCAGGATTTCTCAAGCAGATCCTCACAAGCGACCGGAAGGGGCGCGGGGGCATCCCCCTGAAAGTCGTCGTCATGAGTGCTACTGCCGATGTTGAGCGTATCCAGGGCTTCTTCGCGACTGAAAAGCCAGCTGCGGACGGCGAAAGCATGGAAATCGACGAGGAGAAGCAAAAGTCATCGGTCGAGGTTCTCAAGATCCAGGGCCGTCAGTTTCCGGTCAAGACGATTCATACTCCCAAGCCAGTGCCGGATATCCAAGAATCCTTATTGAAGACAATCTTCAAGCTCCACACGGAAGAACCACTACCTGGCGACATACTGGCGTTCCTGACCGGCCAAGAAGAGATCGAGTCGATGCAGTCGCTCATCGAGGAGTATGCTGCAACGTTGGATTCCAACATCCCCAAGGTCAAAGTGCTCCCTCTTTTCGGCCAGCTCTCCATGGAGGGTCAACATGCTGCTTTCCAGCCAGTCAAGGGAAGGACCAGAAAGATCGTGTTAGCTACCAACATCGCCGAAACGTCCGTCACAGTTCCTGGAGTTCGCTATGTGGTTGATGGTGGCAAAGCAAAAGTCAAGCAATTCCGCGCTCGTCTCGGCATGGAGTCTCTGTTGGCCAAACCGATTTCCAAGTCATCCGCGATCCAGCGAACTGGTCGTGCTGGTCGTGAGGGTCCTGGAAAGTGCTTCAGGCTATATACCGAAGGCACGTTCGACACGCTCGAGGAGACTGACTTACCAGAAATTCTGCGAATCGACGTTCTCGGAGCTGTCCTGACCATGAAGGCCAGGGGCATCGATGACATCTTTGGGTTCCCTCTGATGGACACCCCGGATATTGATGCCATCGAGCGGGCTCTCGTCAGCCTCCATCTGCTTGGCGCCTTGGCCGATGATGGTGCCATCACCGAAGCAGGTCGGAAGATGGCTGGCTTCCCTGTTTCCGCCCCTCTAGGTGCTGTTCTTCTGGCATCCGCCAAGCCAGAGTTTGACTGCGTTCTCGAGGCCATCGATGTCATCTCCTGCATTACCTCTGGCGATGACATCTTCCACCAACTGCAATCCGAGGAGCAACGTGAGGAGATCGAGGAGCTTCGCAAGGAGCTATACCGCCGGGAGGGTGACATCCTCACCTATCTCACCACAATGCAACAATACGCCGCTGAGAATGCCGACCGCATTGAATGGTGCAAGAAGAGGAAGGTGAATATCCGCAACATGAAGACAGCCTTAAACATTCGGAAGCAGCTCCGAAGCCTGTGTCTGAAAGAGGGACTTCTCTCAGAGGCACCGCCACCGGATCCGCAACCTTTCACCCCTCTGGCCCCGGAACAGGCCGAGGCTCTGCTCAAGTGCTTCCTTCGCGGCTTCGTTTCCAAAACGGCCGTTTTGGCGCCAGACGCAAGCTACGTGACATCTCAGGGCAAGCACATCGTTGCGATTCACCCGTCGAGCGTCTTGCATGGACAGAAGAGGGAGGCAATCATGTTCCTGGAACATGTCTTTACTCAGAAGAACTATGCCAAGAAGGTCAGCGTCATTCAGGCCAACTGGATAGTGGAGGCCCTAGGGGGAACTGCATGAGTTAGAGACGTATATGTAAATACCTAGAGACATATACAATTATAATCTAGAAAGACGGTAATTTGTTAGAACACGTAGACACACATGAAAACATCGAAATGGGTTTATTCTATGCATGATTCTACATGTGATGATACAAACTGCGCCCGCCACCAGAAGAGCAACTACGGCAGCTTTTTATGACTGCTCCTCTTCTCCGTCGCCCTGCTTGCTCCGATCCTTAATCGCCTGCATCAACTCATACAGCTGAGCAATCTGTTCGTCTGCCGGTGAAATGTCAGTTTTCTCCCACGCCCGCGATCAATCTGAATGACTTACCACTCATTTTCGCAACCTTGACGGGGTCGATCTTGTCGCCCTTCCACTGGTCACCTTCCACTTTTTGCGCGTACAGTTGCCACTCTGTCAGGAAGCCGATCTACGGAAAAGTTCGTCAGTATTTACCCAGATTTCAACGAAGTCATCGTCCGCGCTGCTCCCACAGCAGACAATCCCGGACTAGTGGCCATCCAATCACATGCACCGTATTACAACATTCTCATTGCCGCCACTCCAGCAAGCACAATTGTGTCCGCAGGGACGTAATGTGAACAGGAAAGATAAGGTAGCAGTCTTAAAAGTTGTGCAACACTCAATAACATGTTTCATGACAGGACGATTGGGTAGAAGGTGAGTAAATAACATGGGTGAACAAGAATATACGTACCAAATGCGCCGGGTTGTCCACATTGCGATGCGCGCGGAACTCGGCCTTGATGTACTCGTCGCCGAGCACCCTCATTTCCTGAGGAAGGTATTTCCGGTGCGCGCGGAGCAGGCGTCGGTACAGTGGGATGGGAGGAAGCAGGGCCATCGGCGCAGTCCCCAGGCCCTTGGGGATGGAGGCTGATGCCATCCTCAGAACCGAGGAAGAGCGCATTTTGTGGTGGTAGAGGCAGGACGGCGGGTGAATGGGTATGACAAACTCTCAGGCATGCAGATATGTTAGAAGTGGATTACTGCAGTCTGTGTCCGTGTGCTTTCGTCTCTTGGGCGTTGTTGATGTCGCTATTTCACGATAATTGATGACGTTTCTAAGTAGCAGTAGTACGATTTTCCCAAAGTAAAGTCAACACAGTGATCCATACAGTGTAAAAGAAGACGTTTGCACACGGTGCCTATGTCATACAGATGAATGCCATCGTCTCGTTACGGCTGAATCGCCAAATGCCTGATTATGCAATGTCTTCTTTTCCGACAACATCACATCACATTAGACATCGTTCAAAGATTTTTGTAATGAATATGTAATCCGATCATAAATGCGAAACTTGCCTAATACAAATAGGTATCGCGCTCAGCTTGGGAAACATAGTTGCTGTCTCCATAAGACAAGAAGCCGTCGTTTTGGAAGTCTTCCTTCACAAGCACCATCGTTCCCTCAGCAACCCGTGAAAGCGCTTTCTCCGTCCGTTGCGTCAATGGGTGCTGCTCTCCCAGCCATACCTTTCTCCCCTCGAGACACGACCTCCACAATCCCTCCGCTTCTTCTGTTTTGCCTCGTTGTACAAGCACACCGGCAAGTTGATCCATCGTCGTCAGCGTATCGAGATGGTCTTTCCCCAGAACACGCTCGCTGACGACCAACACTTCCCGGAGAATATCTTCGGCCTCCCAGAATTTCTCCAACTTCGCGCACCCAGTCGCCACATTGCGTTTCGAATTTAACGTGATGGGGTGTTCCTTTCCTCTCAGGTCCTCGTCGATATCGAGCACCTCTCGCCACATTTCGTCCGCCTTCTGGTAGAGTCCCATCTCGCAGCGCAGGGCGGCAATGTTGCTGATGCAACCCATCGTGATTCGGTGGCCGGGGCCAATTTTCGCGTCGTCGATACAACGATGGAGGATGAAGCTTTCGACCCCGAGCGCTGCCTCCGTTTCTCCATTCAACCGCAGCACCGTTGCAAGTGTCGTGACGGTTCGGCGGAAGACACCCGAAGGCCAGCCATAGCTCTCCACAGTCTCAAAAACCCAGAACAACAGAGTCTTTGCCGCCGAATACCTGGCCTGTTGAAGATAGACTTTGCTGAGGTCGATGTGGATGTCCCACAACTTCAGGGCGGCCATCCTCTTCTGCGGACATTGTGGCAAAAGCGTTATGATCTCCTCAAAGACCTTCTCCGACTTCTCCAGACGGCCCCAGTCCCGGTAAGCTTTTGCCAAGTCCCACATGCCCGAAATGACCGGCCACTCTGTGCGGTCGAGGTGCTGTTCTCTGTCGGCAAGTATAGCTTCCCACTGTGCGGTGGCGTCCTGCCAAAGGCCTAGCTCAACCAGGGCTCTCGCGAACTTCCCCTCATGTTCCGTCCGTCGCATCCACTCGAGATCTTCTTCTCCCCTGTGTCCGAGACACGCTCGCAAGTGTGGCAGGACCTGACTAGCATAGAGCTCGTCACTGAGCTTGTCTTGTCTTCGAACACTGAAGAAAAGCAGTAAGCGCGCAGCTCTGCGTTGAAAGACGAATGCCTCCGGATCCATGCGATCTCGAGCCCAGGAGTGCACGAGAACATGCATAGAATGCCATGTTTCGTTCATGGCAGACTTCTTGATCAAAGAGTAGCTCTTCAAGATGCGGATTCCGTCCCTGAAGTTTGCGGGATCCCATTCGCCTTCTTGCGTAAGACCAGCCAAAGGCAGTGGGGCAATACCGCCGCCGTCGTCCCCTAGATAGTCTGCTTCAAACCTTTTGTCCGTGGCAGCCCGGTCAAGTATCTGCTCCATGAGGTTCTCGTTGTGGTAGAAGCAGAAGATGCAGAGGATCCGGAGTGCATTGAGAGCAGCTCGTCCTTCGCGGTTGTCCTCCTTGGATTTCTTCTGCAATGCCGCATAAGACAACTCGAAAGTTCCATAAACGGCTGGATTATCGTGGAAAGCGCCGCGGCCCATCGACGCATCTTCCATCAGCTGCTTCCGCCCACTTCGAAAGTCGAACAAGTAGTCTTTGAAGGTGCACTCTTGCATGTCGATGTAAGAACCGGCCTGGTCGATGGCCAGCGGAAGGTAGCCAAGTTCCTTAACGATTTGGCCAACGTATTGCTGATCATCACTGTACAATAGCTGGTCTTCCAGCTTCGATGACCGTAACAGCAATGCCACAGCGTCCTTTTCGTCCATAATGTCGACAGCATACGTCTGATTATGATCCAAGGTAGGCTTGATGTCCTTCCGTCTACTCGTGAAGAGAATGTTACCAGTGTTCCCTTCTGGGATGTACTTGCTAACGTCGACGGAGTCAGAGTCGTTGTTGTCGAAGACCAGAAGCCACTCTTCTGAGCGGTTTTGGGCCAGCCAGTTGAGGACGCCGGTGATGTTGGGTCTGCTGGGGTTTCCGCCGTAGATCTGCGCCGTCACCTTTCGGAAACTTTCGTATATGGAGTCCGTGGTGGCCGCGTTGATCCAGAAGACATGGTTGAACCTGCGTCAGCATACATTAGCAGCTTGATACAGAGATTACATCTAGACACACGCACCGAGAGCCATGCAGGTCTCTGAACTTCAAGGCGATCTGCGTCTTTCCGACACCGCCCATGCCCCAAATTCTGAGAAGTCTCCTAGGCGACGACCCAGGCTCCCGTTCACAAAAGTGTCTGTCAAGTTTGCCGAGAATCGCGGCTCTCCCGGTGAACTGGGGGCTGGATATGGTCCTTTGCCGGACGTCCTGGACCATGGCGTGCCGGAATGCTTCGTATGAAGTAGCACGGCCTCGAGTCTGTCAGCGGATGACGCACTTCAATCATATCACTGAGGCATCAAACTCACAAGTAGCCTCTAGAGGCATCTCAACGCCCTCTTTCTTGTGCAACATGTTGACGATTTTGTCAATGGAAGCCGATACCTCGTCCTTCTTCAGATACTTCTCCGTCGCCTCCCTTAGTAGCTTCATCTTTTTATACTCGTTCAGCTTGATATCTGCAGCGCCCTTGTCCAGATTGAGTCGAAAGTAAGCATTAGGAATACCGCGAAACCACTGATCGAGTTCGTGGTGGGTGCGTTCGGGATCTGTCAACGACGTCTTGATGTGTTTATACACAGGCAAGCTGTCGCGGGACAGCAGAGACCCGCTGAGACTTCGAACAGGCTTCTTTGTCAACTCAAGGGCGTGCTCTACCGCCTTTTCAGCATCAGCTTCGACCTTGAACGCCTTATCCGTGATTTTGAGCCCCGTGCCCAAGCTCAGGAGAAAACCCAGCTTCCGGTCGGAGCCCAGATATGAGTCGGCCTCGTCGAGAACAAGCTTGGCGGGGTTGTTGTAAGCCAGCGCGCCGTCGTAGTAGTACTCCTTCACGGCCTCGACCTTGACGTGTACGGGGTTGAAGAAACCAGGAGCCGAAGACGTCGCGCGAGCAGCTTCCCAGATTTCGACATTGTGCGCGTGATTGGATTTGCCCCTGTAGGTGCGGAACAGATACGCCTCGAACATGTTGCTTCTCGGCACGGAGCACACAAAGGCGTGGCCGAGACTGTTCCGGTCTCGTGTTTCGTCAATCATGACGGTCGTCTTCAGCCCTCTCGCGGCGACAATGTCCCGGATGACCTTCTCGAGCGTCTTTTCCTTGAATGTTCGTTCCAGGAGCCGCCGGTTCCTCTTGCAGAACACTGTTGCTGCGAAGTCCTCGTAGCCTTTTATGGCTTCTTCGGTCGTCATCCCCATGCGACCGAGGAGGATGGCGATGAGTCTGCGAAGCGGTGTGGTTTGTTAGCGAAAACTTGTGTTGGTTCACTCGTTGGAACGGTTCCAACCAACCCTCCCGTGCTTGTACCACCTATCAAGTGGAAATAGTCCCTCGGCCTGGGCAGTTCTTTGAGCCCAGCTACCTTTTGCAGTCTCTTCATTATCTCGTGCAGTATAACAAGCTCGGATATGCCCCTGACTCCGCCGCCATCGAGAGATAGAAGGTAAACCGGATCATTGTTGATGTCTTGGTCGTCTGCCATTCTAACCTCACTCTGTACGCAATGTATGAAAACAGCTTAATGATACATATAATAACAGAACTCTATAATATTCAATGAGAAACGTTTGAAAAATGGTATCGCAGAATCATGAAATCGTGAGATCGTAGTGCGTGATAGTTGAGGCCCAAAATCAGTGCAACCTCGCATCGTGCAGAGAGCGAGGATACCAGGGGATGAAGTACTTCTTCCACCAAACCAACCAACACATTTGCGAGCGGAGCCGACCCCCTCGGAGGCCTTCATTCTGGTCCAGAGAATCCGTGATAAGCGCCCTGCACTCGCCGGGGTTGGAAGAGGGGGGGCATGGCCACAAGACATGCACCAACATGCTTCAATACTTTCCCTCTCTGGTCAGGCATGTTTCATCAAAAGACCTCGCCAACTGCAAGGACCATTAGGTTGACTCAGTTCGAACCCGAGGGAACGGTTCTGCCCCGAAGAGGGCCCAACTGCGAATGCCAAAACCGGATCACCCGCCGGCCAAGTCTGCCTATCCGCAGAAACCCCCTGGTTCTGGGGGTGGCGTTGTGTTGGTAGTCGTACGTGCATACTCAAGTAATGTGCCTAAAGATAGCAGACCTGTTCATCAGTACGTCTGCGTCTGTTTTTGCTTGGAAAGGAGCGATGCGCGCTTCTGAAAAGTCGGTGTAATTGATGATGGATATGCCGAACCAGTATCTGATGTGTGAGTAGGTGAAAAATAGAGCCCGAGAGGGCCATTGGGGGAGAGGACTATGCTTGTAAGCGCCGCTATGGGGCGGACCGGACCGCTGAACGGGATGCGCTACGGGCGAGTTGGTGGGCGGGATGAGACCCGACTGTTCCCGGAGGCCACCCACACCATACCTCACTCAAGGCTCTCCCGGGGCAACTTGCGCCTTCCGCATGATGCTATCAGCCATCAGAGCGAAATATGATCCATCGCCAAGATTACTTCTTGAGGATGGAGAAATCTTCCAATATTCATGGCATGTGTTGAGCAGCCTCAGAGCAAACACCTTGTGGCTCTGCACACCAGGCGGACTTAGGCCATACCCTGCACAAAGATCTGCAGCAAGGTTCTGGAGTCATGATGGCTTTGGACAAGAGACAAAAGCTTCAAGGGGTCGTCAAGAGGGGTCATCAAGAGACTGATCACATGGTGTAGGATACGATTTCGAATTCATCGTGCCAAGAACCCATCTCAAATCAACGCCTGCAAAGCCACCCCGAAGGACCAAGCCACCCGGCATCAAGAAAAAAGCAAAGCCGACGCTATCTACACTGGCCGAAATCCCCCTCGTTCAGGAAGCCGGCGCCCCAGCCTTGAGCATCTCCATCTCAGGCAGCGTGAAGCCGTTGCCGAGGTACGCAAAACGGTTCTGCCTTGCGTTCTCGTATGTGTAAACCCAGTCCTCGCCCCTGAAGTGTTCCAGCATGCGGATGAAGTGCATCCTGCTCCCTGGGTGCAGGCCCGTCACGGGGGCGTTCACCTCTCCCTGCTTGTACCAGGATCTGCACCCGCCCGTGAATGCCGTGCGAGGCATGAATGCGGCGGTGTGCTCGAAATAGTCCTCGACGGCCGCCTCCGATGGGGTGATTGACCGGATGCTTTCCGTCTGGCACTTGCGTATCGTGTTGGCGATGTAGGTGGCGATGTGCTCGCTAAGTGTAAAAACATCACCGTGGGCGATGGGTGCGTTGGGACCAAGGAACTCTGAGGCTACTATTAGAAAAGGAGTCTATGAATGGGGAGTGGGGTTCAGCTCACTGAAGTAATTGGGCAGGCCGGCAACGGCGAGGGACATGTACGCCTTGGGTGTCTGCTCGGCCCAGATGTCCTGCAAGTTTCCGTTCCGGCCGGTGAGAGGAAACGAGGGGCGGAACGAAGAGTCGAAGCCAGTGGCACAGACGATGGCATCAACTTCGAGGACACGTCCGTTGTTCAGCTCGATTCCGTTGGCCACGAACCTCTTGATAGCATCCGTGTGAAGAGAAACCTTGGGATCGTGGAAAGATTCGAGATACCCGGGCGCGGGAGTAAGTCGCTTACAACCCAGCGCGAAGTCGGGGATGAGCTGTTTGCAGAGCTTCTCGTCACCCTTGAGCATCGCCATCATGAACTCTTTTGTCTTGCCCAAAGCCCACTTCTGCTGGGGACTGCCTGCCACCAGTGCCACTGCGAACTTAATGTTGGAGTCGGTTTCCAGAGTCTTGGCAAACTTTTGGTAGAACTCCGGGTCGTTCTTGAACCGCTCAATCTGCGCTGACGAGAAGCGTTCTTCTTCGTCCATCTCAATCTGCTGCATCAAAGGGGCAGAAGGGCCCATCTTCATCGTTGCCACACGTGGTGGGATGATCAAAGTGGGCGTCCGAATGATGTGATGGAGCTCCTTTACATCTGCGTCAAGGTGAGCCCAGTGTAACGTCTAGAAGATGAGCTGGTGATACTTACGAGGCCGAATGGCTGGCACTATTTGTACACCAGACGCTCCGTTGCCGATGACAGCAACCTTCTTGCCTGCGTAGTCAAAGTTCTTGGGCCAGTTTGCGCTGTGGATGAGGGTGCCCTGGTAGTCTGAGATGCCCTCCACGTCTGGGAATTTCCACTTGCTTCTCGGGTCAGGATCCGCAAGTCATCATTGTGGGAAACAGTAACATACTTGAGAATTCCTGTCGCATCGATGATGAAGTTGGCATGGTCGGTGACGATAGATCCTGTTTCCAGGTCCTTTATCTGCACTTCCCAGACGGCCTTCGGCTCGGACCACGATGTGGCAACGATCTGGTGCGACGTCTTGATGTATGGACGCATATTCTCATCGTCACATATCCGGCACAAGTATTCCTCAATCTCAGCTGCGGGTGCGAAGAAACTCGACCACGCAGGGTTAGGCCTCCAGGAGAACTGATAGTTGTGGCTGGGCACATCGCACTTGCAACCCGGGTAGCGGTTCTCGAACCACGTACCGCCGACGTCCGCGTTCTTCTCGTAAATCACAAGTTCGTACGTCGAAGGACCGAGTGTGTTTCTGAGAGTGCGAATCATGTTGATTCCGCTGGCCCCGGCACCGATACCGATGATGCGGATTGGGCGCGGCGTTCCGAACGGCGCTTCGCGCACCGAGTAGGCGGTGTTGCTGCGGACCGACTGGCCGGAGCCGCTGCCATGGCCGTCAACATGCCGTGAGAGTTGAGGGATGAGTTGGCGTGTCATTGTCGGTGTCGTTGCGTTGGAGATGGCTGGGTGGGCAGTGAGAGACGGAGTAGATGGTTTATATCTCAGCTCAAGCAAGAGGCCTATGCCGAGGAAGGCACCGCCAAGGTTTTGCAAGAGCTTCCTTATCAAGAAAGGTGCAATCCGGTTGAGTGCTTGGTGGGGTTACGGAGGAGAGCGTAGGCAGAGGCAGTGACTAGGAAAGCAAGGCCGTTTGACAGGCTTCGTGCATTCTTTGGTTTGTACGGAGAGCAGCCAATAAAGACACAGGAGCCCGTGGAAGAAGCAAGATATGGGATGAGACAGGCGATGATGACAACGAAGGGAAGAAGAAACAAGAATCCATTGACATGGATAGGCCCTGAGAGACATCGCCCGGTTCAGCAAGGCAAGGACGGGTAAAGTCTGTCTGAGGAGAGCGGCTGGATCAACTAACACCACGACCACACCACACGACTTTGGCCACCACTGCACACAATCAACTAGCGCAAAGAAACTCTCGTCACGGAAGATATTAAGTCAAAGTCAAAAGAGACAACTCACATGAGACAAACCAGTGGAGTTGAGTCCGTCCAATGGATTGGATCGCCTCAATTGAAGCCCATGTTGCGTGGGGTCTGTCAGGAGAGCCACTGTTGGTCCATTTACGACAAGCAGTTTATCTTTCTTGGCTGGTGGAACGGCAGAGCTGTGGCTGCACGTATCCAAAGAGCTTGGAAACAAGGCTGGCCCATGAGGAGAACCGACAGTATGGCTTGCTTGCACGCTTGCTAGTCTTGTTACGGTCAAGCATGGTTTCGATTAGCATAGGGGCCTCTACTGGATGCAGTCGTAAACCGTCCAACCACGAGGAGAGACGAGGTCGAGGGTCTTTGGGAGCATGGATCCAGTGCGGTGATTGACGAATCAGGACCCTCGCCGTCCTGATGGAGGAGGGAGGTCTGGAGCCGCAGCTAGATCGTGGCAAGTGCCGGGGACCACGGAGCTCAGTGGATGCTTCGCAGAGCCTCCATTGGGAGATGCCCTTGTCCTGCCCCGGAGTCATGACGATAAAGGGCATAAGATTACAGGAACGGATCCTTGATGGCTGTGTCAGCAAACGGCACAGGCCATGGTAACCCAAGTGCCGGTGGAAAAGCGCGGGATATTGTGGTGTCTGGTTGCGCGAATCGGAGGGTAAAGCATCGTGAAATGGTCGGACCCAGTGTTGATCGGCCGCGTGGACGGGATGCAGTGCGGCGCATCCTTTTGGCGGAGGGAGGCCGTCTCCATCGCGTTTGTTGACCACTGAAACACGAGATCTGGCGGGAAGCACGAAGCACAAGATGCACAAGATCCTCCGGTGTTAAGATGAGCAGGGTTGATATGCGTGGGTGGTGTCTGGCAGGCAGCTGCAGCTGAAGCGTGCAGCAAAGACGTGCATGCTCCGCCAAGGATGTGAAAGAGGTGCCGCCCGGCGTGGGACTTTTCTCTTCTATGTCTCTCCCATTGCCCTGCTAGAAGGATGCAGAAAGACACGCAGAGGGTTTAGTTGCGGAGGCACGGGGGCCATTTCCGAATGTTGGCCTATCAAGACTGCAGCTGCGCCCCTTTGCCGTCTGGTCCTTGGCCAGCTGGGTCAGTACATAAGCACGGGGGCCGAAGACCGAAAAGAGAATCCGAACGGACGGGAGAGAGAGAAAGACATTGTTTCTGGGAGGAGGTTGCTGGGGCCTTGCGCTGCAGAACGCCTCCTGCAAAGGCTCTTGCTCATTGGTTGTTTTGCGATTGGATGTTGGTGTTGGTGTTTGGTGGGTGCAGATGGAGACTGAGGCGATGGCAAATGGGATGCGGTCGTTCCGTTTGTAGGCAATTCAACCAGTGAGCGGTCGATGTCCCGGCCCAAGTGCTGTGTACCGGAAGCACATAAGCACTGCCCTGCGTAAGCGAAGTATCGGTCACTTAGTACACAGGCCTCAAGTGTCACTTCTGCAATCACAAAACCTTCATCCAACAACTAATCATCGAGACCGATCAGACGTTACCAATTCAAAACCTCCATCATTGCAATTCAGTATGCTGATAAGGCGAATAACCGCGGGAGATTTATCCCGGCGTTCACGATGAGCCGTCTCCTCGCCAAGACTATTCACCTTTTACCAGATTGAGCTAGCTGGCTAATGTGAGCGCTCCAGTACATGGCGTGGGTGGCACATCATAGCATTCATCTTGAAGATGTGATTCTTGGGAATGAATTGTCCATGGTTTCCTCAACAATGCCCAGTGGAATTGATCCAGATCCGGAACTCGACAAAGATGGCCATGTTATTTCGCACAATGGCTTTCTTGGCAGTCAAATCCGTCGAGATTGAGGAAAAGTCCAACGGTAGCCACAGCTTGTTAGTTTCAGGCCGAGAACAATGGGAACACACCTCTGTTGAGAACCCGAACACCATCGTCGCAGTCCTTTCATGTCTGGGCTCATAGCCACCACGCCACAACCGTCTGGCACCACGCGAGCATCCCGCCATATGGTTCAAGCCTGACGACGTTGGCAATAGTCCCAAGTTCAAGTGTATGGTTGTTAGCCATGTGAATCTTGATCAGAATCGCTTCTTGTCGATCACTATGGCCTTCGTGCAGAGTATATAGAGATGATGCTGAGTCTCTGAGTAGCACGTTCTAATGTCAAACCATCAGCTCATTCTTTTCTTCGCTTCCAATCCTTCGTTCTTTACAGATAGCACACTCCCTTCATTTCAATATGCACTCTTTTACCATCCCAGGTATTGCCCTGGCCCTGACTGGGCTGGGCAACGCCGCGACAATCTCGAAACGCGAGCTCTCAATCACTACCAGCCTTCCAGCAGGCTTCAAGTACCTTGGCTGCTATACCGATTCTCCCGGTAACCGACAGCTGGCTCGTGCCAGTTACGTCGACTACAGCCGCATGACTGAGGAATCTTGCATCGCGTTCTGTTCGGCCAAGGGCTTCCCATATGCCGGTGTCGAGTACGCTTCCGAGTGCTACTGCGACTATTCCCTGGGGCCCCTCGCCACTATGCAGCCCGAATCCGACTGCAACTTCGCCTGCACCGGCGACTCGACGGAGCCTTGCGGTGCCGGGGACAGACTCAGTGTCTTTACAACGACCGCTGCCGCCGCCGGTCCCGGTGTCAACCCCGGCCCGGCGGGCTGGGCCTCTCTAGGCTGCTACAACGACAATATTCCCGGCCGCATCCTCGCTTACCGTACCGGTGTTGCGGCCGGCGACAGTCTCATGTCAGTCCTACAGTGCACTGCCGCCTGCAAAGCCGCCGGATTCTCCTACGCCGGAGTTGAGTACTCTTCGGAGTGCTACTGCGACAACCATATCCTTAGCACCGCCGCCAGTGGCCAGACCGGCTGTAACATGCTCTGCTCCGGCAACAGCACGGAATACTGCGGCGGAGGGAACTTCATCAACGTCTACAAGTCTTCCGCCGCGCCCAAGACAGCAAGCACCATGCCCGCGGGCTGGACTGGCCAGGGTTGCCTGAAGGACAATGTTCTCGGCCGCGCTCTCGGCGTTGGCATGGCTGTGGCGGGCGGGCCCGCCAGCATGACGGTCGAGAGCTGTGTCGCTGCGTGTTCCGCTGCCGGATACCAGATTGCCGGTGTCGAGTACTCTCAGGAGTGCTGGTGTGACAACCAGATCCAGAACGGAGGCGTGCTGACTCTTCCGACGGACGGCTGCAACATGCTTTGCAGAGGCAACACGTACGAGACCTGTGGCGGCTCGAACCGCCTCAACATCTACGCGTCTTATAACTTGAATCTGGCCCTGCCCTCTAGTAGTTCCTCATCCACGTATGCGTCTACTTCGTCTTCGAGCAGCAGGGTCTCCTCTGCTTCCTTGACGTCTGCCACATCCAGCTCGTCTGGGTCGTCAAGCCGCTCTAGCACCGCTTCTAGTACTTCCAGCAGCACCTCGCTCACTTCTTCTGCCGTTACAAGCACGCTCTCGACCTCGACCACGCCGCTGACCACCTCTTTCTCATCCACCTCTTCCAGCTCTCCCTCCAGCTCTTCTTCCAGCTCTCCTTACAGCTCCAAGTCAAGCTCTGCAAGCTCTTCCTCTACCTCCGTCCCCACCTCTTCCTCCACCTCTTCATTCACTTCTTCGGTGAGCGAACCTACAAACTATTCGAACTGAAGAAGCAGCACGCCATACTAATGCCTCACAGACCGCCGCAACCTCGACCACGGCCACTTCATCTTCCGCCAGCGGTGCCTGCGCTGCTCCCAGCCCAGCCAGTGAGTTAACCCAATCCTATCCCTTGACAACTCAAACTGACTTCATTTTAGTTGCAAGTAAGTCTTCCGCACCCGCTTGAAGAAAACTTCCGGCTGCCATTCCATCGACATACTAACCTGAACCTTTCTTCCTAGGCGGCCCATACGTGAAAAACTCCGGATGGGACTACGGCACCAGCAACTGGACCATCACCGGTGCCGCTACCGGGCGCATCGTCGGCGGCGGGTATCAAGTAAGCGGCTGCGGAGCTCTGTAAGTCGCACACACATGTCCCACACACGCCTTTCCATTTGCATCCTTACTGACTGACGGCCTTCCTTTCCTTCAGCCTCTTCGAGTCCGCCCCAGGAGGTCTCATAGGCCGCTTCACCCAAACACTGACCCTGCCCCCTTCCACTACGACCAAGAGGAGGATCGTCACCGCATACATCGGCCGCATGAACGAGACGCCGTCCTCCGCCGGGGTGCCGACATTTGGGTTCGCCTGGGACACTTATCCCATCCCGGACGTCTTGGTGTGCGGGTCGACCAATAACCCCTGCAGGAACGTCAACACGCCGCTGGCGAGCTACTCCAAGTACACGTGGACGTTCAACATCGCGGGCGGCACGCACTACATCATGTTTGCCTTCAATTGGCCCAGTGGAAGTAATAAGGCGCCGGTTCTGATTGATGACATTACCGTCGTCGATGCGTAGGATTGACGGTATTGGTCACGTTGACGAACGAGTCTGTAAAAGCAATACATTTTAAGTGAACATCAAGAATGAGGATTCAGAACTTGGAGAAGCGTGCAGAAATTGTGACATGGATGCTCATCTCTCAACATTACCTTAGTTTGACGTCTCACTCACCCTCATGCCCACCGTCACTAATCCTCCGGGTATTCAAACTGTGGGGTTATAATTGGTATCATGCAACTTGAGTGAACGTATTGAGCACGGCTCCGCCGGAAACTTATTCGAAAGCCCACGAGTGACCCGGCTTTAAGTACTCGCGTAGTCCCTAGCCGTGTACAAATATTCAAAGTGCAACATCATCGCCCGGCGAACCTGCAATGAGGCACTGGGAAGGGCAGCGCACCGACGTCGTTGAACCCCGCCCCCACATTTTGATAAGGCAGCTTCTCTTCCCTCGCGACTTTCTTATCGTCGCGAAATTTCCTACAACCCCGCGGCATCCCACCATCCCCCTCCCCGAAAAAAAAAATGTCTTCATCCTTCTCCTTCGGCTTCGGCGGCGATGACATAGAAGACGACTCCCCTCCCGCCCCGGCCTCCGCGCCCGCCGGCCCGGAGCCCGACAACACCCCGGCGCCGCCCGCGGCGGCCGCGTCGTCGTCATCGTCCGCCTTCCCCGTCCCCGGCAAACCCCAGCTGCCGCCCACCGGCCACGACCTGAAGCACATGCTCGCGCAGCTCCCCTCGAAAGTCGCCTTCAGCACCCTGGACGTCGTCCTGGACGACGGCACCACCATCGCCATCCCCCGCCGCGAGCTGTGGGACGTGCGCGTGCAGCTCATGGCCGAGGACGAGACCGCCGCCGGCCCCGCGGCCGAGGGCCTCGGCAGCCACGACGTCAAGACGGGCGTCTACGAGGGCGGGTTCAAGAGTTGGGAGAGCAGCGTCGACCTGGTCAAGGTGCTCGCCAGCGGCGGGTACCTTGATGCGCTGAAGGATCGGCCACTCCGGGTCGTAGAGGTATGAGAGGACTTGCGCCGGTTTAGCGTGGAGTGGCGATCGATGATGATGATGAGAAAGGGGCTAATGTGATTGATGGCACAGCTTGGTTGCGGCACGGCGCTGCCATCTCTGGCGATCCTGCAGTGGGCCATGAGGTACGCGACGGAGAGGTCGCCGCTGCTGCTTACGCTCGCCGACTACAACCCCTCGGTGCTGCAGCTGGTGACGCTGCCCAACTTCATTCTTGCGTGGGCCCTGGAACGGAGGGACCAGAGCCCGGCCGTGCAGGAGGCGTTCGCGCTGGAGGACGAGCTGGAGCTCACGCCTGAGGTGCTGCAGCAGTTCCAAGACTTCCTTGCGTCTTCGCACATCTCTCTCAACTTCATTTCCGGCGGTTGGTCACAGGAGCTGATCGACCTACTGTACGAGAGCCAGTCCAAGCTGAACCAGCAGACTCACGACAGTGACACCATCAACAAAGACTTTGATACCCTGCTCATCGGGGCCGAGACAATATACTCCCCGTTCGCCCTGGAGGCATTTAATGAGATGGTCTTTGCTATTCTTAGCAAGGAGAAGGCGGAGCGGGGAGGCAGCGGCTGTCAGTCACAGGCGCTGGTGGGAGCCAAGAGGCTGTACTTTGGCGTCGGGGGTTCACTCGACGACTTTGTGGACAAGGCCAGAGGAAAGGGCGCGACGGTGACTCAGATCGCGGAGGAGACGGAAGGTGTCCGGCGTGGAGTCGTGCGCTGCACGCTGAGTTCTTCCGGTTAATAGAACCATCGTTCCAGTCCAAGCTGTCGGGTGACGCTCATCTGTTTATGGTATTTGTTTGCCACCGCCGGGACGATGCCGTGCTCGATTGGCTGCCTTGTCGAACCCGTGTCTTGGGAGTCCACGAATGCTCTGGCGCACCGGCGCGAATTGGGAAGAGGTCCTTGCCGTTGTTGAGCATTCTAGGGGGAGACAAGGAAACTCTCCATGAGGTGCTGGTAGCTGGCAAGGCGAAGGGTCTCGGGCTGTAGCTGTGAACCCTTTCGGGAGGCATCCATCCTCCCAGACAGTGTCGTAAGACGCGGGACCTGTGGCATGAACCAAGACCTGTCGACGAATGTTGGGCACGTGAAACGTCAAGCCTGATTGATGGGCGCGGCTGTGGCGTTGCAGAATGTTCATCAGCCTGGCTTTCTCTTGTCCTGCATCTGCAGCAGCCACGGCGTGGTACCGAATCGAATCGCATCACATCGCCAATTCCAGTACCGGCATTCCCGTCCGTGGCACCGCATCGCGGCCTTGTACGTCACCCAAGTCGGGGCTGCAAATTTTGGGGGTGATTCGGAGGAATATCCATTCCAGCATGGTGTCATGTTGAAACGCTGCTTGAGGCAGAACCAGGCTTCGCTTGTCCTTTTTGTCCGGCCAAGAGTAACTTACCACAAGATGTCACTGGCGTTGATGGCGGAAAGCTGCATGTGAATGAGTTGGGAGCACAGAGGGCCAAGCCTGTCACGGAGCTGCCATCCCCTCAGCTTGAAACTCTGCTGAAGGCGGAGACATCGCTACATGCTGGATGCTGGGCTCCAACAAATTTATTCACCGATAGTTGTTCGCGAAGTTGCATTTCCATGATGAACGAAGTTGTTAATGACCGATATATCGAATCGTTCGGACGACACTCGAGCCATCAGATGGCGTTCCGTTGTCGGTCGCGCGGGGGACTTCCAGATGGATGCTCACAAGGGGACGTTATGGAGAATAGACGAATCGGCTAGAGCAGGGTACGGAGGGGGAATTGTGGGTGAACCGGGAGCTGTTAGTGTCCGAGTCCGTCGATTGGAGGCCAGGCACAGGGCCCATGGCGCAAAAATGCAGGTACCGTGCAAGCCGTGAAATAGCGCGCATGCTGGGGAGATTTGTCCAATGTTGGTCTCCACAATGGGTCTCCAACGGGGCGCATTGAAATTGGTCCTTTTTTCTCTCTCACTCAGATATTGGCATCTTGGAATCGCAATTGGGCAGCGGCCAGGCCCTGACGTCGTTCCATTGCATCTCATTGCACAACCGATGGATTGCGCCCCCGTTCGCCGATTGAGAGCGAGATTGGCTGCGCTTGTGCGATATGATGTTGCAGTGCTATGTGCTATATCCGTCTACACCAGCCAATATGTGCAATATGCGTGAATGTATCGCGTACCGTGCCGTGGGAACGAGAGTTCTGGAGAGAGGGGCCGGATGGAATGCGCGGCACGGCTCAAGCGGGTGCAGGCGAAGAGCAGAATCTTCTCCGGCGCCCCCTCGGTAGATCCTCATCAGGCGATACCTGTCAGGTCAGTACCGCCGATTGGGGAGGACAGGCCGCTGGTTGTCACCGTCATGATCGGTGAAAGAGTGTCCCGTTCCAGCATGATGTGCGCCAGACTATCGTTGATGGCGACGGCCGAGCAGTCACTCACCTCTCACGGGTGCGTCAGGCCATCCATATTCGCAGGATCGAAGCATGGAGAAAAGCAACTTGCTATGTCCGCGGCAGCTGACCTGTTGTCTCAAGCCCTGCCCGTCAATGCTTCTATGGGGCGGAAACAAACAGACAGACAAAGTTGCCAGGATCTAAATGACTTTGCGCTAGAAGTCAATGGACTGACGGTGAGAAGGGGAAACAGAGCAGGCTGGGTCGTCGATGAGGGTGACGACGTAAGTGCCGCCGCCGCGTAGCCGCGGGCTGGGTCCTAGCACATCAGGGTTGAGGGTGAGGAAATAAGGTGCCGCTGGCATTCGCATTTTTTTTGATGTTCGGATGCTTGGAAATACCAGCGCAGCGGAAGGCGTCGTCACCTCCATTAGGCGTGGTGGGGGAGCCTTGAGCTGTCAAGGTCAGCCTGCAGCAACCATCGGATTGACGACGAACGGCGACTGGTCCGCGGCAAGTAGAGTTTTTGCCTCTTGAGATAGAACACGAGATGGAAAGGAGGGTGGAGGGATGGACGCTGTTGGCTGCGCACGCAATTGCAGGCTGAGTTGGCTGGGCGTCAGCGAGCATAACAGCAGCGCCAACAGCAGCAGGCTGAGATGGTAATATGCTCACATTCCCATGGGCGGCGAAAAGAAGAAGGCGCTTGGGGGAGACACACACACACAGAAGGTACCTCCTCTGGGCTGTTGATGGTGCGCGCGCCATCTTTCGGGCGAGAGATGTAGCTGTCGGCGCTGAAAATGAAAATGAGTCTTGTCCCCTCCCTTGCTGCGCCTCGAAAGACCCAGATCGACAGGAACCTCCCCAGGACCCCCTCGTCATCGGGCCAGAACGAGAAAAGCGGGCACCAGAGCATGGGCGAGAGTCAGAGACTGGCGCAAATCAGGTCTTGGGGCATCTCTTGACTCCCTGAGTCTTCTTTGGCCCAGTTGCAGCGGGTGTCACTTGCGGTGGACTGAGGTGAGAATGAGATGGACCATTTGCCCACTGGATTGTGCCATTGCGGATGCTGGAGGTGGACGCGACGTTGTCACGCTGGACGGTCGACCAGGGCCGCTGCTCGCCCCAGCTGAATGGATGGAAGGGTTCTCTCAGAGACCCCAGCTCAAAAGACCAATAGGGGCGCTCGGGCGACTCCGGGGCACAAGGGTAAGAGAGGGGGACGTTGAGCGAGCTTCGCGGTCGACGACGGTCGTTGGAAAAAAAACTGGAGGTGTGTTGTCGGCAACTAAGGTACCTAACAGCTCGGGCGACGGCGTATAACGTACGCGCGGGCAAAGTGGTTGCCCTCCCAGCTGTTCCAGGCCAGCTAACGCCCCATCAGACAGCTCAGCTTTAAGGTAGGTGCTGGTAAGCAGCTAGGAAGACAACCTAAAGTCGCAAGCTGTAACAGGTGCAGCATCGTCTGGCGGGACGGGAGAGAAGCGTGTTGTTGAAAGCAGCAGCGAAAGAAAGAGACGGCGCACCACAGAAACCTGAAGCTTGGTGCTCGTTAGCGTGTGGCCTCGGGTTCGCCATGTTCCTCTCTGCGACAGGGGTCCCCGTCCAAGAATTTTCTGCCCCAACCCTGATTAAGCTTAGCGCCGCGCCCCTGTTGCTGGGGTTGCTAGGACTGGTGCGAAGGAAGGAAGGACGGACGGTTGGAGAGGAGAGGTACTTGCAGGTTTACACCCTCCCAGGCCATCGTCGCTGCTTCCTCATTTGCGACGAATTGCGCTGCGCCGACTGGACGCCTGGTCTGCTGCTGCCATGGAGGTAAGGTAGGTACCGAATGGCATTGTACTCTGTACTGCGCCTGCGTAAATCACGGGCTTGGGAGAGGCTGGAGGCAGGCGCCAGGTGGGAGCCGTGGCCGTGGTGCCCGCGCCGTGGTTCACTTTGCAGCAGCAGCAAGGAGCAGCGCCTTCCGCGCAGCGCGGTTACTGTGTGAGATGGCTTTTGTTGTGATTCCATCGCCCTTCATCGTCGAAACGCCGCCAAACAAGCAAGCCTCGACTGTGCGTAGCTCCTGTCTCGCGTGCTCGCCTCCCGTCCCTCACCTCACCTCATGCCTTTCGTCCTTCCGTTATTAAACTCACCTTGCCCTCCTCTCAGTCCCGCGCTTGATGATCCTCCATTCCACCCGTCTCCATCACCAGACCCAAACTCAACACACAAACAAATCTGTCCGTACACACAACACAGACAAACATCAACCCACGCAATATTACCACCCATCGCGCGTCCACACCCCCGGAATTCCAACTTCTACCCTCGAGCAATATCCAGGAAAAGCTCCGTCTGCTACCACCATCCCAGGTACCGCTACTGATGTAAGTCGCATGCCTCCGCCAGAACCCGCACACCCGCACACCCCCCCTTCCATGCTCTACCCCTGGATCTCTGTCTTCGCCTAATTTCGCTCCTTCGACACGGGGAAGCCAGAAGCCTTTTTCTACTCCTGGGCCCCCCCTCGACCTGTTGTCCGTTTTCCTCTCTTGTTTCCTCACGAGCCTTCCCGACATTCGTTGTTGACCTTTTTTTGCGACCTTTACAGTAGTACGATACCTAATACACCAACCTTTACACTCGTTCACCAACTTTAATCTTCACAAAAAAACAACCCAATCCGTCACAATGAAGACCTTCTCCGCTACTCTCGTCGCCGCCTTCGCCGCTGTCGCCCAGGCTGTCCAGCTTACCAACAGCGACTTCGCCATCACCGCCGGCCAGCCCTTCACCATCACCTGGTCCGGTGCCACCGGTGCCGTCACCCTCAACCTGAAGAACGGCGCCAGCACCGACCTGAAGACCGTCGCCGCCATCACCAGTAAGCCCGCTGCTTCGACCTGGTATGGTCTACTCACAGTATCAAGATGACTAACATGAATGCAGCTGGTGCTACTGGCAACTCCTTCACCTGGACCCCTTCTGCCAGCCTCCCCGCTGACACCTACGCCATCGAGATCACCGACGGCAGTGAGACCAACTACTCTGGTCAGTTCCAGATCTCCGGTGCCTCCGGCGCGGCCACTGCCACCGGTGCCAGCTCCACTGCTGCTTCCGCTTCCGCTTCGGCCTCTGCTTCTGCTTCGGCCTCTGCGTCTGCTTCTGCCTCCGCTACCGTCACCGTCACCTCCGCCGCCTCTTCTACCGCCTCTGAGACTGCTGCCACCGTCTCCTCTGCCGCCAACTCCACCATCGCTTCTACTGTTTCCACCAGCACCCGCGCCAGCACTCGTATGTCTCTATCCCGGTTCTCTTCATAATGAGATTTACTAACAAGCAAACAGGCGTGTCCTCCACTACTGGTGCCACCACCTCCCCCACCACTGTCCCTGGCAGCGACTCTGTCCGCCTCGGCTCTCCCATTGCCCTCATCGGTCTCACCGTCGCCGCCATGCTCTACTTCCAGTAAGCGTGTGTGTTTGACGAGGACGAAAAGGGACAGTCATGGGTCACTTGACTGGTATATGATGGGAACAAAAGGGTTTAATATATAGTAATGCGATCCAGGAACAATCAGGATGAGGCGTTGCATATGGGGTCTAGCTAAATTGAGTAGCTGGACTCGATGAAGACGATGACAACGGACGGCGTACCACTTCTGTGTATTGTATTCAACTGGGTCTGTACACAAGCATAGTCAATTACAGCAATCAGATGCATTGTTGCCTCTTACCACTAATTCGCCAGACCAACTTGTGGCCTGTTCGCTCGTGACCATCTGACATCTCGATTGTACAACGGCAGACCCCTCATATCTTCCGTGCTTGCATTGCCTATTCAAGCGACATGCATGACCTGACCGTTTGTCCTCGAGCGACGTGACGTTCTGCCAGTGCTTCCTGTGCGACGCTGCATGCGGGTCACTCGGGCGCAGGCATGCAGGGTACACTGTAGTCCGGGGCGCATCCGCGTCCGAGGGATCAGTCAGGAAATCACACTTACACCGACATCAAGATCTCGCCAGTCGTTGTGTTTAAACTCATCCACGAAACAAACGAATCGTAGAGGTCTCCAGAAAATAAGGAATAAGAGACCGGTTTGTTCGACCCTCCACGTGGAGAGGCTGACGCTGACGTGGACCCCTTTGCGGCCAAAAAAGGGGGTCGACCGTCCGCCGTGGGGAAGGCGGAAGAAGGAAGCAACGAACCAACGTCGGTTTCGCCTCCTGCCGATCAGCAGGAGAGGATTCCCACCACACAGACATAGACGTAAAAAAACAGGTTCTACGGATACTGGTTGGTTGATCGGATGAGCCAAAATATGTAGTTTGTTCGGTGGAGAAATCGAGGCTGTGAAGAGGGAAGGATTGGGGCTGTTGTCAACGTGAGACGTCTGGGAGGGGACGAGATGCTGGGTTTTCTGGCGTTGTTCTAGCGTGTGTGTTCTGACGTGTGGTTTGAGAATCTGCTGAATATGTCTTGCTTCATCCGTTTGCCGTTGTCGATAGAGTCAATGCAGTCAATTCGGCTCAATCGCATCGTCGGTCACATCATCGTCATGGACCCTGACTTTGTATGCCCGGTTTGTCCGTCTGCCAGCTGCAATCTCGTATATGCTGTCATCTTCGTATCCTGCATGGCCCGATCTTGCCTGCAGGGCCCAAAGCAAGATTCGGAGCTTTCAACGGGGGATGTGTAGTGATATAACAACCTTGAATGGTTGTTGCTTAGTTTCAAGGGGCTTGTTGCTTCTATGTACACGGTGGATATCTGGTTTTGCGAAACACTGGACGGAAAAGCGACGATGATCCCAGGCTTGAATGTAGCGGCGGCGCCTCCTTTCCGATGTCTATATTTTTAATAGCTTGAGCAAACAAGAAACAAAAGCCCATCTCGGCGGCATGCTTTGTGTCTTTTGATAATAATACAATTCGGAGAATTCGACGCTCCAAACCAGAGCTAACTTCTCAAAGTGGCCTTAAAGACGGCTCTTGACCTTGGCGTCGTCCGACGCAATAAGCACGACGACGCAGATGTCGTCAATCTTGCCGCCATGCCAATTCTCCTGAGGAAAGTACTTCTGGACGCCCTTGGCGAAAGGACCGTCGTGCTTGCGGTTGAGACTAGCCGACTTGGCTGCCGCGGTAATCTCTGCTGCCAGAACGCTTTGCAGCGTCAAGAACTTTGAAGGTGGTCGTACGGAGGCATCCTCTGAGGGCTTCGTAAAGGGCTTGAGATTGTCGACGACACGCACACCGTTCTTGCTGTCGAACCAGGCACCCGTCGTCGTCATGACGTTGCTCACAATACGAAGTATGTCCTGATTGAAGAGGTTGTCCCAGACACCGTCAGTCGCAAAGACCACTATGTCCCCGTGTCGGAGGGCGTGTTGGGTAACGTCGGCGTCGGCGGGGAAGTCGCAGAGGTTGGCGCCACCAAAGGCAGCCATGCGTGCTGCCACAGCCGGGGGCACGATGGAAAGCTGGTAAGGGGTATTGAAGGCGTGCGTTTGAGGCTCGGAGTAGGTGTGTACGGCGTTCAGACGGAGCTGGATGAAGCCCGAGTCGCCCAGGTTCGCAACATCGAGGTTTCCATCTGGAGAGGCGACGGCAACGCATGCTGTGCTTCCTCCAGCGGGAACCGACTTATCTTCACATATCGCCTGATACCCGGTCTGCATCAAAGCCTGCGCCCGCAATGGGTCCTTATCGCCACTGCCTTTTGTCGAATCGTTTTTGATCGCATCGTGGCCATAGGCTGACGAGGCCATGTAGTCGCAGAAGCCGTGCGAGAAGTCTGCAGGATCGACACCAGAATCGACCCAGCCGCCAACACCATCGGCGACGCCCAGAGCTACCGACCCGGATTCGCCTACCCTGCTGACGAAGAAGGCATCATGACCGCTGTCTGGCCTCGATCGCTTGCTGCGATTCAGTTGGATCCGATTGTATGGGTTGAAATGGAAAATATGTGTTGAGGGATCGTACGGTCGGTCTTTGCCAGTGAATGAGGCTGCGACGTGGTAGGAGAGCTTGGCTGCTGTCGAATCGGAGCTCATGCTTCTGGTCGTCGAGATGCAGCGCTGGGATAATGGCGATGGAGGGGTCCGTTGCTGACGCAACAGATACGTCGGATACAACGAGGTGCAGGCTGTGATGCAATCAGCTTCTTGTCCTCAACAGATATCGCATTGTCTGAAGGAATTACCCTTGGTCAAAGGCTTAGTATGAGAGAGTTGGACCAGGGGCTGGCGCAAAGCGATCACCGCTGCGGCCATTGCTTCCAATGTGCAGCGACGTGTCGTGTTTCTTGGAGATGCGTTTGCGGTGCTTCCGCAGTCCGCATGTTAACTATCCCCGCGTCAAGTTTGAAGGCGACAGACAACGACGCAAAGTCACCTCGCTGCGGGCTCAACAACGCTGTCAGCTTAGGATTTCATATGGAAAGACTGGAGCTTCCTCGACGCGCACGAGCACAATTGGACACTTGCGACGCGATGGGTGCAGCAGCCGTCCAAGGGATGGATGCAACATCCACCGATTTGATGTCATATGAAAAAGCGCACCCCGGATTTGGCAGGGATGACACCTCCGCCATATTCCCGCAACGCGTCACGTGCACCCACGGCAGCACGGAATGCCCGAGTCCTTCTTCACATTCACCCGATCCTGGTCAGCTGTGGAGAACTTAGGCTTATTATCAGGCTGTACCTGATTGGCCGGTTGTCCCGCTGGCCCTCGGGTATTCGAAGTCGGAACCAGCAGCCAAATCTTCTATGATGTTTGATTTCGCCCAAACGCCTCCCATAGGATAATACTACGGTGATCCGGCCAACTCCTCCAACCACCAACGCCCCGCAGCACACCTGCAACTGCTCAAACATCTCTTGGAGTTTCAACAAGCTGTTTTCTTGACTGTATCCTCGCGATCAATCGTTCCCGAAAACAACCGCCACGATGGCAGCTCTCCGCTCTTCCTCTCGAGTCCTTGGAACGGCCACGAAGGCCGCTTTCCGCCCTATTGTCACGATCCCTCGCCGTGGCCTTGCCACCCCTACGGATGCGCCCGCGGTCAAGGAGCCCAAGATGAAGAAGTTCACCATCTACCGCTGGAACCCCGACACGCCGACCGAGAAGCCTCGCATGCAGGAGTACACTTTGGACCTGAACAAGACGGGACCCATGATGCTGGACGCTCTGATCCGCATTAAGAACGAGATCGACCCCACTCTTACCTTCCGTAGGAGTTGCAGAGAGGGTATCTGCGGTAGCTGTGCCATGAACATCAACGGACAGAACACTCTGGCTTGCCTTTGTACGTGTCCCCCTTGAGGGCGGGGGCAGAAGCTCGACTCTGCCATCGCCTTCGACCCGGAAGATGTGATAGCATGGCTAACCAAAGTCCAGGCCGTATTCCTACTGAGAGCGCGTCAGACGTCAAGGTCTACCCTCTGCCTCACACCTACGTCGTCAAGGACCTCGTTCCCGACTTGACGCAGTTCTACAAGCAATACCGCTCAATCAAGCCCTACCTGCAGAGAGACACTCCTGCCCCTGATGTACGCTGAAATTGCCTCCACTCACTTTAAAGGTTTACGCTAACCCTTCGTAGGGCAAGGAGTACCGCCAGAGCGTCGCCGACCGAAAGAAGCTGTCTGGTCTCTACGAGTGCATTCTCTGCGCCTGCTGCTCGACTTCCTGCCCCTCGTACTGGTGGAACTCTGAGGAGTACCTCGGACCCGCCATCCTCCTTCAGTCCTACCGCTGGCTGGCCGACTCCCGTGACGAGCGCAAGGCTGAGCGTAAGGCCGCCCTCGACAACTCCATGAGCCTGTACCGTTGCCACACGATTCTCAACTGCACACGTGCCTGCCCCAAGGGTCTCAACCCCGGCAAGGCCATTGCCGAGATCAAGAAGGCTATGGCTTTTTAAGAAGCGAATCGGAAGTTGGTGGCGGAGGTTTCTACGGGTTGGAGTCATAATCTTGGGCGGCGCGTTATTGGCTGTATACTAGGTAGTGTGTACTTTATGAGCATGGCTGGAGTTTGAACTCCTTGGGCACACTAAAAGGGGACTCTGAATTCAGGCTTTCTTTTGTTTCCGTTACTCTACGGCTTACTGATGAGGATTACCTGTGTGTCTGGATGTGCTAGAGCGATGCGAGGCGAGGGGTCGGACCTCAGAATGCCACTGGGAGGTCAGGTGGACGATGCAACAAAGAAAGTTGCCACATTAGAGTTGGCCGTGGAACGGCGGCTTCATGATAGATACCTAGGGTAACCCTAAATTATTTACAATTCTTCAACACTGCTGCAACCGCGTAGGCACGTGCTCTGAAACTCTCGAACGCAATATTGCGACAACGAGTTGCGAATTGATTATGGCTGCACTACAACTGGAAACCATTTGACCATTGACCGCTAAGCTGTTGCCGAGGCTCCACGTAGTCATGTTGTTTGAAAAGTGGCAATGCGAATAATCGCGCGCGATAGCGAGCTGTGGTCGTGAAGTCATGGACTTGGGCCTCTGCATCGAAAGGGACCCAGTTCCACCCGCACCTCGGCAATGGGGTTCGGGAAGCACCGCAGAACCAGCACGCAATGCGAAAAGCTCCAACGAGGCCAATTGCGTTCAATTGAGAGACAGAAACGCAGAGAAAAGAGTTGCGACAACTCCAGAGCAACTCTTCAGAAGCATAGTTCAAGTGCGCAACGTGTATCGCAACCCCAAGTTTTGCGGATAAACATAATTCTTCAATGGCCGCTGATCCAGGAGGGCTAAGCTTTCGTCCGGTCGCACTGATGATAGGTACCCCGGATTGGATCTTCGGAATTTGACGGGACTTCATGCATGTGAAGGTGTGGCTTTCCTGGAGTGTGGCTAGTGTGGCTTCGGCTCCTCGGCGGATGTCCAGCTTAGGTTCGTATGGAGACGGAGGGATAATCACGAATCAAGACAGAGTGATTGGCTGAATCGCTTGTGGAATCCTTTCCTCGCAAACCTCTCGACAGGTCGTACCCAGTAACCTTTTCCCACCCAAGTTGTTGACATCGACTGGAGGCAGCACCTCGTTCTGGAGACCGATCCCCAATTGAAGGTACGTGTGCAGTTATGGCAATAGCAGGTTTTAGGGGACTTCTCTCTTACTAACCCATCGCCCGCAGGCCTGATCTCTCTCTTCCGACAACGGTTAGTTCCGACCATTCCCTTCCACGCATCCATCCACCCGCACAGCATCCTCGGTCGTCAACGTCGTCTGCCACCCCCACGACCTGAGTATTCAGGACCACGAATACGCCAACAACTCGACACAACAATACTGACACTCGACAATAGTGTTTATAGCAAATATGGCCTCCTCAATGGCGCTGAGGAGATTTGCCGCCGCCAGACCTGCTGTAAGCATTCCCTCTGTTCTGTGGCAACCTTCGACAGAATCCATGGCGGGCTTTGAGAAACAACCTCGCTGACAATCCTCAGTTCTCGCAGGCGCGCGCATTCTCCACGACTAGATCCGCCGCGCGGGTCTTCGCGAACCAGCCCCTCCGTGCGAAGGAGGCTTCTCCCTACGTCAGCAACAAATACCCCGTTATCGACCACGAGTACGATGCCATTGTCGTCGGTGCCGGTGGTGCTGGCCTCCGTGCCGCCTTCGGTCTCGCTGAGGCTGGCTTCAACACTGCTTGTATCTCCAAGCTTTTCCCCACCAGATCTCACACCGTCGCTGCTCAGGGTGGTATCAACGCCGCTCTGGGCAACATGCACGAGGACGACTGGAGGTGGCATATGTACGACACCGTCAAGGGTTCAGATTGGCTCGGTGACCAGGATGCTATTCACTACATGACCCGTGAGGCTCCTGCCTCTATTGTCGAGCTTGAGAACTACGGCTGCCCCTTCTCCAGAACCGAGGACGGCAAGATGTGAGTGCCATTCCACGACCTAGTTGTGAGGTCCTTCTTGCTAACAGCCTTTCGCAACAGCTACCAGCGTGCTTTCGGTGGTCAGTCTCAGAAGTTCGGAAAGGGTGGACAGGCCTACCGCTGCTGCGCCGCCGAGGACCGTACCGGACACGCCCTTCTGCACACTCTCTACGGCCAGTCTCTCCGCCACAACACCAACTACTTCATCGAGTATTTCGCCCTCGACCTGATCATGCAGGACGGCGAGTGCCGCGGTGTCCTCGCCTACAACCAGGAGGACGGCACCCTGCACCGTTTCCTCGCGAACCACACTGTCCTGGCTACCGGTGGCTACGGACGTGCCTACTTCTCTTGCACCTCCGCTCACACCTGCACTGGTGACGGTATGGCCATGGTTGCCCGTGCCGGTCTGCCCAACCAGGATCTCGAGTTCGTTCAGTTCCACCCTACCGGTATCTACGGCGCTGGCTGCTTGATCACTGAGGGTGCTCGTGGTGAGGGTGGTTACCTCCTCAACTCCGAGGGTGAGCGTTTCATGGAGCGTTACGCCCCCACCGCCAAGGATCTTGCCTCTCGTGACGTCGTTTCCCGTTCCATGACCATGGAGATTCGCGATGGCCGTGGTGTTGGCGAGGACAAGGACCACATCTTCCTGCAGCTCAGCCACTTGCCCGCCGAGGTTCTCCACGAGCGTCTGCCCGGTATCTCTGAGACCGCCGGTATTTTCGCCGGTGTCGACGTTCGCACCCAGCCCATTCCCGTCTTGCCCACCGTCCACTACAACATGGGCGGTATCCCCACGAAGTACACGGGTGAGGTTATCACCGTTGACGAGAACGGCAAGGACAAGGTCGTCCCCGGTCTGTTCGCCTGCGGTGAGGCCGCCTGTGTCTCTGTCCACGGTGCTAACCGTCTCGGTGCCAACTCCCTGCTCGACCTTGTCGTCTTCGGTCGTGCCGTCTCCCACACCATCCGCGACAAGTTCTCTCCCGGCACTAAGCACAAGCCCCTTGCGGCTGATGCTGGCGCTGAGCACATTGAGGTTCTTGACAAGGTTCGCACGTCCGAGGGCCCCAGGACCACCGCCGATGTTCGTCTTTCTATGCAGAAGGCTATGCAGACTGAGGTTTCCGTTTTCAGAACACAGGAGTCGCTGGATGAGGGTGTTCGCAAGATGGTTGAGATTGACGCTCAGTTCCCCGAGGTCGGCATCAAGGACCGCAGCATGATCTGGAACTCCGATCTTGTTGAGACCCTTGAGCTCCGCAACCTGCTGACTTGCGCGTAAGTAACATCTTTGTTTAAATTGGTCACACTTGACGCTAACAACTTAACAGTATTCAAACCGCCACTTCTGCCGCTGCTCGCAAGGAGTCTCGTGGAGCCCATGCGCGCGAGGATTTCCCCGAGCGTGACGACAAGGAATGGATGAAGCACACCCTCTCTTTCCAGAAGCAGCCCCACGGCAAGGTCGACCTGAGCTACCGTGGTGTTATCGCCAACACCCTTGACGAGAACGAGTGCAAGGCCGTCCCTCCTTTCAAGCGTGTGTACTAAACCATCAATGTTACGATAGACCAGGTGTCGGGTGTTTTGGGAGGCGCGCAACGGGAATATCGGAACAGCAGAGGATGAAGAGAAAGAAGACTAGGGAGAGGAGGCGAATCATAATACCACGATAATTTTCAGTTAATGATCGTGGGAGAAGCCGCGTGGGGAATAAGTTACCGACCCTTTTTGGAATATGCTGTATGGGTTAGGTACATGCACCGCAGGCTTTCGGGCTTTGGCTCTGGAGTTAAAAACGTGTAAAGTAGGAGGAGAAATTCATTTTGTTCAAAGAGAAACCTGAATCAGTTCAAACTTGACTGTCCCTTGCCATTCGAAATTGACGACTTGAATATTTATCTCCTGCCCCATATGAATGACGGTGTTCAAGGTGTTCAAGGGGAAAACCACTTCGTCACACTCTGTTCTTGTTATCACGACCACCCTCGCATAGCTGGCCGTTCTCATCACATCGCGTCGAGATATTTGGCTCAGCCAAGAATGTGCCAACCTATTTGACTTCAACCGTTCATTACTTCATTCAGACAGGCGCGCCATGCGCCGTCACGGTTCCATGCACCAAGTGAGCATACAGGTAAGACATTGCGCGAATCGAGACGGTAGTTCACAGCAGCGACATATCATTGCGAGTTACTAGCAGGAAAGATACACTACATTTTCCTTCCTTGTATTTTTTTGTTCCATAACATTTTTCTCTCAACCATTTTCAAGGGGTGGGATCGGCAGTGAAGTACGGGAGAGAATAGGTCTGATCAGGCTCGCTGGTGAAGTAAGGCAGAGAATACGTCTGGTCGGGCGCGGACGTGGACTTCGAGCAGGGAGGCGCGGTGTAGGACGGCCAGGGGCGGCAGTCGGAGTGGCATCTTTTGGAAGAAATGTTAGCCGTCTACAACATTCTCTTGTGGAATGGATCGACAATAGGAAAAGAGAGGGAGAGACTTACCCGCCGTACCACTGACCACACTCGTTGACGTAGTCTATGCAGACGGTGCGCTTGCTGCATGAGTCCGTGATAATGGTCGGCGGCTTGACCGGGGTGACCGAGATGCTGGGAGGTGCGGTAGGGCGAGGCGAGGGCTTGCCGGGAATCTTGGTGATGGACTTTGTCGGCTTCGTGGGCTTCGGGCAGGGAGGCATCGTGGGCGCCGTGTCCGGCTTGCAGGCATCGTAGCAGCTATCATTCGACATCAGCAAAGGATCGCTGGCAGCAGCGGTAGCGAAAGATGGCTTACCCTCCCCAACGCACGGTGGGACAGGCGGGGTTGATTCCGTCGATGCAGATGTTCTGGGGGCAGCCGGCCTTGCCCGGCTGGATCTGGGGGGCCGCAGCGACGAAGCCAGCGACGCTGAGAGCGGCTGCGAGAAGTTGAGTCGAGTGCATATTGACTTGGTGTAAGTCGTAGAAGAGTTCTTGAATCTGCAGATGTTGGTTTGTGTATGTGAAGAGCGTATTGTGGTTTTGTGCTGGAGTACACAAAAACTTTCCTTCGGTCAGGCCGGACAACCGGGTTCCTATATAGCCTCACGGCCTGCGCAAATAGGTCGCACGTACACCCGCGGCGGCTTGCCCAACAGCCGGCTGGGATAGTCTCCAAGACGGGAAGACGGAGGCTAGCGGGAGGGTGTTTGTGACTGTCTCGGCCGCAGGGGAGGAGTGAGCCGCCATTGCCCTGCCCCGCGAGATATGCGCCCTGGTTGCCAGTACACAAGGCACATCGCCAGATGAGTTTGCTTCCATGCCCGCCAAGCACAGTCTACCTTGCTTCGGTGTAGGTGCCAAGAGACGCGGAAGCATGCCAAACGCGAGAATAGCTTACACAGGGCCACGATGTAGGGGAGAAAGGGAGCGCATGCGGATGGTGGTTGAAAGTAGCGTGCGCCGCATGTGCATGTGGACAGAGCGGTGGATGGTGTCGACGATCAGCGATTGGTGATGAGGTCAAGGTCTCAGTTCTCGGCTGTTTTCGAGCAGTCTGGTCTCAGACTGCCCTACCAGAAGGGGTATTCAGGGCTGTTGCAAAAGGCAAGGGGGAAGTCGAGTGGGCACCGCGGGGAGTTACACTAGCACAGCTCCTTTGTTCGTGATACCCAGTTGTGGACTCGAGCATGTCCAACTGATGTAAGGATACCATCAACGGTCTTCAGCTCGTTCCAGGTTGTAAAATTCTTGACGAGAACCCATTATTGAAAAGCGACGGACAAAACTCCGCCCGGGTTGGCCTGAAAGTGGCCCTCCAAATGTAAGCCTGGGCTGAGAGGCTTTCGTGATATTGCCCAGCACCATGCAACATGCCCGTATGTGGCTGGTTCATCGCATATACGGGGGAGTCAAGATAACCGTATCTAGAAGCTTTCCGCTCCCGCCAAGGCGCTTGTTTCGAGGGAGCGGCAACCTGGACCCCTGCCGGCGAACGGTACGGGCGGACTGATATGGGCTGATCATCTTCGAAATCGACGTCGAGGTTGGATTCGGGTGAGAGACTCGAGCGGTGCTTCGGCCCGTCTGAACGATTCTTCCACAAGTACCAAACAGGTCTAGGAATGAAAAGTCTTACACTAAGTTGAGGTATGTTCCATCGACTGCGGGAAGCCGTTCACTGGTAGTAGGCTATCACGAATCCTTGGGACTGTGATATGGACTCGGGAAGCGTGGAGCTAGCCATGGATGCCAACTCAAGATCGCACTACCGCTCCCACCGGCTGAGAGGAATGCCACCGGAAGCTTGGGAGGGTTCGTATCTGCGACAGGACTCGGGCGTTTGGTCGCTGACGGTTGAATGACATCAGCCCAATGACATTCAGTAGGGCGTTTGTGGACGAGTGGACGCACGAGGGGGGGAAGAAATGAAGGGATGTCTCGTTGTACGAGCGACGTTCGTTCGGGACCCCTGGTGCAGCCGAGAGGGAAAGGCAAAGGTCCGCAACGTGCAAGGGGCTATGAATAGCATCCGACCATCAACTGTCCGACTTGCTGTCTCTCCTCCCGATTGGGGCATTCATATCCAAGACATGGAAGAACCTTACCTTACCTACAAACCCTCTTGCTACGACTGTCTCTCCTTCCCGCTGTCAGCTAAGCCAAGATTGTGACTGTGGCATTTGCGGGGGATCATCGACATGGAAGGCGCATACCTCGGTGATATTTGAGACATGCGGCGCTGGGAAAACCTTGGTCAGCTCGAGTGGTCATCGTCACTTTTGAATTGGTCCGTCTTACCTTACTCTCTTCTTTTGCTTCCCTTTTTCTTCTTCCGCACTCCGAGCCGAATGTATGCGCTGCTTCGGAGACATCACTTTGCCCTCCAAGCGCCCGCAACATTCCTCGAATGTGCCTATTCGGACGTCAGCTCAAGGCTGGGCAAGACATACGAGCGAGGCGCCCTACCCTTTCCCGTCAACGCTCGCAACGAACGTGGAAGGCTCCGTCGATCATTGACAGATCCTGCCACGAGTCGCGAGCTCGTCGATCCGGCGCGAGCCGACCTGTTGACTCTCAAACCGTCCCTACCTGATCGGGACTACTATCATCAACTGGCCGGTGATCATCGATCGAGCGAGGATGGCTGATCATCAGGAACTCCTATTTTTAGAAGAAGAGAAAACTTCGTTGCAACCGCCCAGATAAAAATAAAAGGATCAGCATGGAGAGATAAAAGAACCTCATCAGGACAGATCCATCCAGAGACAACTCTTGCTGAAAGACATCGCGATCCCGGATCTGGGAAGTATCTCGTGCGGCGTCATCATAGATACATCTCACTTATCGCAGTGGAACCCTTGATGTGCCCGGAGGAATCCAAGCCAGCCTTGGCGGGAGATAGCCAAGGTCAGACAGCATCAAAATCAGGGCAATTCCTTCGACAGGTGTGGTCAGCTCGTAGCTTGTTACACAAGAAGCCAACGGCTCGTTTGTATCCTATGCCCACGTCGTCAGCTGCGTCATGCTGGGCATCACAGAGAAACCCATCTCATGTTTCAAGCGGGGGCACACGCTCTCCTGTTACTCAAGAACCGGTTGTGCTCACCGGTTCGTCGGTTACTGATCCAGGTCCTTCGCATGGTCCGTTGAACCAGTACACTGGCCATAAATATGGCGCGGGAGCGAATCATTTCATCAAAGTGACTACTCAAGTTTATATTTTTGGTTTTACTCCTAAACGACGCCGGTGCTGGTATCAATCAATGCTGTTCATAAAGTAGGCACCACGTAAGGTATGCAAAAGAGAACAGACCCCTACATCTTATTTCTTCTCCTCAAGGTATGCCTTCCATCCCACATTCTGCAGCTTGGCTGCCTTTTGCTCCACCTCGGTAGACATGTTGCTCATGTACTGAGCCATCTTCTGCTGGTACTCGAGGCTGGAAGAGCCAAGGATCTTAACAGCCAGCAGCGCGGCGTTTGTTGAGTTGTTGATGCCAACGGTGGCAACAGGGCAGCCGCGGGGCATCTGCACGATGCTGAGCAAGCTGTCGTGACCGTCCAGGTGCGTGGCCTTGACAGGAACACCAATGACTGGCACCGTAGTTTCAGATGCCAGCATACCGGGCAGGTGAGCAGCACCGCCAGCTAGGCTTCATGTTAGCGATGTGATCTTTGGAAATTAATAGACAAAACATACCTGCTGCGATCAGGACTTTGATACCACGCTGGGCAGCAGTCTTGCCGAGCTCTACCATGCGGTGGGGAGTGCGGTGTGCAGAGGTAATGTCGAGGTCGTAAGGAACCTCGAATTTCTCGAGGATCTCGAAAGCCCCTTGAAGGACCTTGAGGTCGGAATCAGAGCCCATAGTCACAACCACAAGAGGCTTGTCTGAGTTCCGCGAGCTGATCTTCTTGGCCTTGATAGGAGACTGCTGGAGACGAGGCTGCCCGGACGAGGCGTCGATGCGAGCCTCGCGCATATAGTTCACCTCGTTGATCAGGGGCGCAGCCAACTGTTCCAGGTTCACGCCATGTTCGTAGGAAGTGACGGTGATGTGGCCGATCTTACGGGCCGGCTTAGAAGACTTGCCGTACAGGTGGAGGAAGATGTCCATCTTGTCGTCGTACAGGGACGTGGTGAGATCAACAAGCTCCTCATGAGAGTCTTCGCGCGCGCCGCCCAAGATGTTCAGCATGATGGCACTAGAAACACGGGGCTGAAGCTTGATGGACCGCGGGAGCATGTCCAAGATGGAGTAGAGTTGCGCCTTGTACTGGGACATGTAGGGCACAGCCTCAATGGTGTAGTGGCCAGAGTTGTGAGGACGAGGGGCAACCTCGTTAACGGTGATGGTGCCTATCAGATGTCAATTCAAGATCAAATCATGGCGGCGTTGGAAACTCACCATCCTTCAGGAGGAACATCTCAACAGCAAAGACACCCCTTCCCTTCAGCGTCTTGACGACGTCGCCAGCAACCTGGCGGGCCTTCTCACAAACATCAAGAGGGACTCTGCGAGGAGGGTAATACACCTTAGTGCAAATGCTCTCCTCGTGAATCGTCTCGACAGCCGGATAGGTGTGGACCTTCCTCAGCTCGCCATCCTCGTCCTCGGTGCGGACAACCATGACGGCAAGCTCCATGTCGAAAGGAACCCACTTCTCGGCGTAAAGCGACAGCTTACCCATCGCCTGAATAGCTGCCTCGTAGTCCTGAACGCCATTGACCTTGAAGTTGCCGCGGCCATCGTAAGAACCCTTGCGGGCCTTCAGCATGAAGGGGAAGCCGAAGCTCTTGTAAGCAGCCGACAGGCTCTCCGGGATGGCGGGGCTGGACTCGATGGCCATCTGCGGCGCAATGGGAAGGCCGGCTCTGGAAAAATGCTCCTTCTGGAGGAACTTGTCCTGGATGAGGCGCAGAGTCTGCCAGTGAGGGTGGACTGGGACCTTCTTGACGGTGCCGGGAGCAGTGATAACGCCGCGGGTCGCGATCTCCTCGAGGACCTCGGTGTTGACGTGCTCAATCTCGACAGTGATGACATCGCACATGGCCGCGAGCTCCCTAATCTTTGCCGGGTCCTTGAAGGAGCCGGTGACATGGCGGCTGTTCTGGTTTGCCATCTTCGCAGGGCAATTGGCTTCGTCGAGGATGGCGATATCAATGCCGAGAGGCCCCGCGGCCTCGCACAGCATCCGGCCAAGCTGGCCGCCTCCAAGGAGGCCGATGGTAGGCTTCTTGACCATGTTGGAAGGCGTGAGGGCGGATTTGGTGTAAGTGCGAAGGAGATTGGAACCAGAACGGATGCGATGGTTCAAGAACAAAAATGGCGGAGAGGTGGTTCCCGAGGGAAGAAACGACTCATCAATCCCGCATAAACAGGGCGGATGGAGCAAAGTTTTGAGTCGAAGTTTAGAGATTTTGACCTTTTCAGGCAGGCGGTGAAAAAACACCCCGCCGTTATCGTCGCTGTAGAGCCCCACCCCCACTATGACAAGCCTACAGGGTAAACGGCAGACGCCACAGGGCCCCCCTGTTCCACCAAAAAATGCCATTGACATGCCCGCGCTTTAGACGCTGTAATTCTTCGACCTCAGCCCCCCTGCCCGCCTGCTCGTGAGACTCACTCTCATCGCCCCTCCAGATTGAGATTTTGAACAGCCACCACCACGCCGTGTTTGTGGAAAGCCGGAAATCATGGCGGCAGAATTGTACGATGGGACGATTTCCGACAGGATACAGTGAGTGGAAATGCCAAGCTGTGCTCTCGTTTTGTGTTGTTGCCCAGCTGGCTCACCTGCATGAATCATCTAGTCCTCTCAAAATCTTCGATGCAGCCAAGAGCCAGGACAGGTTTCTCAATGTCTCCGCGCCCATGGTGAGATACAGCAAGGTAAGATTCCCGGAACGTTGCTCTGCCGTGAGAGAAATGAAAATGATCTCACAATTTGTTAGCTTGCCTTTCGTCAAACGGTCCATGAATATGGAACCGACCTGTGCTGGACGCCCATGATCCTGTCCAAGGAGTTCAACCGCAACAACTTTGCGCGCGACAGCGGTTCGTAATTCACCATTCCCAACTGAACCGGCTCAGAAGTTGACGAGTTTCAATAAAGACCTCACAATCTCAACCCAGGGCGTCCAGCCCCCCACGATAGTCCAGTTCGGCTCAAACAGCCCCATAGAGCTCGCCCGCTCATCGTCCCTAGCCGCCCCCTATGTGAACGGCGTCGACCTCAACTGCGGCTGCCCCCAGTCCTGGGCCTGCGCCGAGACTCTCGGTGCCGCGCTCATGGAGAAGCGCGAGCTTGTCCGTGACATGGTCATCGAGACGCGACAGCGTCTGGCGAACGACGGCTGGCACGTAGGCAAGGAGCGTGATATCGACAGTCCCAAGGGGCGCAGTGTCAGCGTCAAGATCAGGGTCCACAAGGACTTGAGGAGGACGATGGACTTCATCGACACCGTCATCGGCAACCCCCACGATCGCAACATCGACTTCCTCACCATTCATCCCCGTACGCGCCATACGGCCTCCAGCACCCCTATCAACACGGAGTCACTGGGTATCCTGCTGGAAAAGTATGGCGACACCCTGCCGATCCTTCTCTCTGGCGATGTCTTTTCCATGGCTACATTGCCGCTATCTACCGTTTCAAAGACATTATCGGAACCAGATGGGCAGCTTACCAACGGCCTCACACCTTTCACTCCAAGCGGAACCAAACTCGCGGGTCTCATGTCCGCCCGTGGCATCCTCGCCAACCCGGCCATATATGCCGGTTACGAAGCCTGCCCCTGGGAGGCCGTCGAGTCCTTCATGCGTCATGTCATCCGTGCCCCTATTCCCGTGAAGCTGGTGCAGCATCACCTCCACGAGATGGTCGGCCCAGGCATGGGTCCAGACAAGAAAGCGCTGCTTGACAAGCAGGAGAGGGCTGCACTGCAGAGACTGGATAGCATGATAGACGTGATAGACTTCATGGACGAGGCAATCAACCGCAAGACGGGTAGGGCAAACGGGCTGCGACGTGAACCCGTAGACAGTTCAAAATTATCTATACCATGACGACTTGATCGTATTCCGCAAATGTTTCATCCAGTGCATGTATTAGGAGCACTATCGAGGTATCGTGCTATCTGAAGCAGCGCTTGCGTCATGAGCTCTCAGGTTCCCACCCTCCTGAACGCCGTGCCCTCGGTGCTTTCTAGGTTCCAGACGTGAGCCAGATTGCTCGAATGCAAGGCTGCCTAAAACGGGATCCATATGATATACTAGGGTGATGCCGCACCCATGGTTAATTGCCTTTCGACCGCCAGTCCGCATGCCGTGAAGATCGATGGACCTCCCAAACGCCGGGTCCCTAAATAATTACAATATTCAAATTGATGATCCTCGTTCTGCCCCGGTATTTTAATCCAGGACTTCTCCCTCATCCTCATCGGATAGTCTCGCGCGCTTCTGGTCCCGACCCTCAGAGTCAGACTCAACCTCCTTCCTCTTGCCTGGAGATACGGCGCCGTTACCGTTCGCTCTTTCCGGCTCCTTGAGAGTAGCCTGTGATCCAGATTCGGTGTTGGTGACATCATCGCGGCCATTGATGCGAGCCCTGGGGCTTTGCGTTCCCCTGTCAAGTTCGAAGGGCGTACCTGCCGTCGATGAAAGCGCGTCCTGGCTCATGGGGTCTCTCGGCTGTCTCGTGTTCTCCAGGTCGAAGGCCGGCGATGGCAGAGATGGATTCTGCTTCCTAAGCGGGTTCTCCGTGTAGAATTGTTGCATGATATCAATCGCGCGAGTGCATTTCCTCTCGTTGCCCTTCAGGGCCTTCCACCACGGTTCGCCGTTGACGTCTTCAATCTTATTCTTAGTGTGCACACTGGCAAAGAATATGGCGCAGATGGCTACATCGCGAGCCTCAAGCAGGAGAGGGATCGAGGTGAGGCAGGCGTCGTTGCACCAGGCCCATGCCGACTGGCGCAAGTGCTTATTGTGGACAATGTCGAGCTGGCCCAGCAGTTCGAATAGCCGCTGATAGGGATTGTCGACCATGAGGTCAAAAGTAAGCAGCTCCAGCATAAGTTCTTCGTATGCCAGGATGCTGTCCCTCCAGCGCCAGTATTCCTTGCTCATTTCATCAATCATGAGCTTCGGGTTCTTCTGCGCGACTTTTGCAACGGTAATGATGATTTCTTTCGTTTTACGGCAATTCTCTTCTGTCTTGTTCGCAAGGAAGAGAGCTGTAGCAGCAATGTTCTGTTCGATCGAGTCTGTTAGTTCTGGTTCGGCTTGGGCTTTCTGAGTTCCTCGCTTGGACCTGGGAAGGGACGTCTGCGTCTGACACTCGTCAGACCCGAGCTGGATCGTAACGGAAGCAAAGGGAGCAGCGGAAATATCTCACATAATGGTGAATGCCGCCCTTCTCCTCAACCATACTGTATCGCATGTAGAATCGATGGAAGAAGACGCCCGCAACCCAAAGAGTGATCTGGGGCAGATCGAGCAGGACGCCGGCTTGGTAGATGAAGTTAACACCTTTTGCGCGTCGAAGTCGTTCTTCCGCCGGGGAAATTCCATCCAAAACGCTCGGCGTGCTCAGTGCCTCGTCGTTAGTGAAGTACCACTGGTTGGGTGGGGGCCCAGACGGGCTTTGCGCCCTTGAGCGCTGTGGCGATCGCGCATCTCGTTGTGAAAGCGGTCGAGGCGGTGAGGTTCGCGAAGAGTGTGTCGGGGGAGATGGAACAGCTGGCGGAACGTCCAGGCGACGCGCAGGAGATCTCGACTGCCGATCTGGCCGCGGAGGACCTGGAGGGAGAGTAGGCGGCTGATAGGCCTCTCTTGACGGCCGATAGCGATCGATGCTGGCCATCGCCGCGGTTGTGCTAAGGTGATTTTGTTTCGGCGATTGGCGTTGTGCAAAAAGATAAATTGGTCATGGGAAGGTGGCGCGCGCTGTCGCAAAGTTCGAGATGGAGTTGGATGATGCAGTACCTTGACCTTGCAGGAGTAGTGGATTTTGGGTCCTGTTTGAGTCGCGTTATCTAATCGCGAATTTGACTTCCACGTGACCTTGGGTAGCCACTTAAGACCCTTGACTTGGCCCGTGCATTGCTGTCGCAGTGGCTCTCTTAGTTCAAGAACCTGCGGTCACTGAAGCTCCTTGCCTTTATTTTGATGCATGGGTATCTCGTTATTCTATTGGGCTACTATTTTCGCAACCTGCCGGGTGGCCTGTCTAGATTCCCTCGCCGTCATTGCGACCCCAGAGCTTCACCGTCCGGTCATGCCCTCCACTGACAATCCACTTTCCGTCTCTGCTCACGTCCACACTGGAAACCGGACCGGCATGTCCACTTAGAGTCTGGATGACTCCCCAGTTGTCCGCCGAGAAGATTTTGACCTTGGCATCAAATCCACCAGATACGAAAAATGTGCCGGCCTTCTTGGGCTGCTGCGCACCGCTCTCGTCAACCCCCGGTGGATGCCCATCGATCGGGTCGTCCGTTCCCTTGAACCACCTGAGATCAGACACGGCCTTTGTGTGAGCTCCCAGGTTTGCCGTCCTCTGAACCTTCCGAACGTCCCAACACTTGACCCAGCCGTCTGCCGATCCTGACAGCACTCGGTGTCCATCCGATCCCCAGTCGAGGGCGTATATCGGTTGGATGTGCTCGTCCAGAATCATGACAGTCCGTCCTGATCGCAAGTCCCAGATGCGACCAATGCTGTCCAGGCCGGCGCTGGCCAAAAGGGAGCCATCCGCGTTGAAGCTCACTGCATAAACACCTCTCGAGTGACCTTCCTGGAGCAACAGCTCCGCGGTGGTCTCTACGTCCCAGAGTCTCCATGTCGTATCATCTGAGGCAGATGCCACATACCTTCCAGAGGGATGGAACTCGACACGAGATACGCGAGCACTGTGGCCAGAGAGTGTCGACAGCGGTGTGTCTTGCTCAAGTCCCCACAGATGCACAACACCTTCGGCTCCTCCAGACGCGAGATTGACAGTGCTGGGAGACACATTGGATTCGGGCAGCGTAGAGCCCGGATACCATGAGAGACCGCTGATCTTGTTGGTATGTCCTCGCAGGTTCATCTTCTGCTCCAGGCTGGGCACCTCGATGAGTTTCAGACCTCCTCCCCAGTTGCCCACCGCGACAATCTCTCCATTGGGTGATAACCTCGTCATGCTGACATTTCGGTCGCCAGCTGTTTGACTGCCCTGAAGCTCGAAGCCCTCCAACTTCTCCTTAATCTGTTTTCGGAACTTGACGTGCGTGCGCAAGGGGATTGTCGACTCTGCTTTCTGAAACTGGACTCGTCGTCTTGCTCTAGGGAGCGAGTATTTAACGATATCGATACGTGCTTGTAACAATGCTGGGCCACCCGGGGTATAGAATTCTTCGTCTTGGTCGTCCGCGTCTTCGTCTCCAGCCTCCTGCATCTCGACATCGACATCGTCCATCTCCTTCTGAATAGCAAGTAGGTTCCTCAGACGGTCTCGTCTTTCGGGCTTGCCCTCTCCGAATAGTGTTATGGGTTCGCCCAGCTCTCTGAGCCTCGCGCGCACTCGGTTGTCGTCGGTAGGCACCGCGATGCTAGCGGCCAGCTTTTTCCTCTCCATCTGCGCCAGAACGGCGGAGGCTTTCTCAGGCGCCACGCCGGACGCCGCAGAAGGGATCTCGTAGTCATGGTCGACGGGAATGTCCTCGAGCGCGATTCCTCTGTCCTCGTCCATGGCCTCCTCCACGTAGGCCTGTCGCGACGGATGCATCATCTTGGGCGGAACGGGGGCTGTCGCGGCCCCAGCGATTAACTGCGAAAATGGTAGAGTATCAAATAAAGACAGAACTTCAAAGAACGAGAAGGTGAGCGAACGAGATAACTGCGGCCAATGGCAGCCTGAGGGTGGTCGTCTCTGGGTGGTGATAGGTAGCTGGTTGCCTTCCAAGGTAGAGCTTCATGCAAAGGTTACAGTCGCGCCAGCTGCACTGGAAAATTTCTGATTAGGTAAGCTGACAGGTCGCGTTTGGGCATGCATCGGATATCAACGGGAGTGGGGCCGGCTTATGTTCACTCCGCTCCAGCTCAACGCTTGTCCTCGTACAAGTGCAGACCAGGACATCAAAATCATCTCAAAATTTCCTCAAACCCCTTGGAATTCTACATATTACACAGCTCACAGCCGAGCTCTGGGAGTACCACTCACAATTCCGCCCTCTGCAACATGACCAAGGGCTGTATTCATCACCCCAGCCAGACGCTCCATGGCCATCTCATCAATCTGATGATGCACCACAACCCTCTTCCCGTCGAGCTTGATTCCCTTCCTTTTCCCGAGATCATTCCATTCCTTGACTTCTATGTTGCAGCTCTTGAGATCCAACCAGGCCATGTTGGTCTCGATAGGCTTTAGTAACCTCCCCCCTCTCTCTACCCACATCCTCCCAACCCTCTCTGCTAGAACACGACTGGTCCTCAAGACCCTCTTAGTATCTCTGCCTCCCAACCCAAAATTCTCAACAACCGCCTGCCGAGCTGCCGCAGCCAGAACACCGGCCTGTCGCATGCCACCTCCAATACTCTTCCGGATTCGTTTCAGTCTCCGGATCAACTCGGATGGGCCCAGCACCATGGCACCCATAGGAGCACCGAGGTTCTTGCTAAAGTCCAGCGTCAAGACGTCACAACACTTTCCAAAGTCGTCCAACGCGCCCGCACCTGCTGATACAGCCTCCCATAGTCGAGCTCCATCCATGTGAACGGCAACCTCATGCGTTGAAGCCCACGCTTTGATTCTCTGTAACTCCGCCAGGGGTATAACCACCCCGGAACTGGTGTTCTCGATGCTGACGACCCGCGTGGGACATTTGTGTACATCATCCGTCAGGACAGCATGCTTCTTGACGTCCTCGAGGGTAAGATAAAGACCATTCAGCGGACGGATCCCTTGAACCATCGCACCCGACAAGTGCGCTACGCCACCGGCCTCCCAATGTATGATATGCGCGCTGGCGTCGGCGAGGACGGCATGCGGCGGCTGGTGCAGGAGTGAGCGGATGGCAAGCTGGTTCGCCATGGTGCCCGAGAGGACGAAAGCGGCGCTTTCGTGGCCACACGTCTTGGCCATTTCCTCCTCGAAGCTTTTCGTTGTTGAATCCTCGCCGTAGACATCGTCGTTGAGGGTCGTGCGAGCGATGGCCAAGAGCATGCCTTGTGATGGAGTCGTGACCACGTCGCCTATAATGACAGCGTAAGAACCGGATCAAATCCCCCCTCCCCGGCTGGACTCCGGCTGGGACTTACTTCGGAAATCGAAGGCCGCGCCGGTTTGCGCGGGCGAGCCCCAAAGCACTGGGTTTTCCTCGTCGCTCGGCATGGCTTTGGGCCTAGACTTGAAATGCTTTCGCAGACGTACGATTCTGGACGACAGATACAACAACTGAACCAGGGGCTAGTCGACAAGTCGATACTGCATATCTCAAGTTTGCAGTCACAGTTGAGATCGGCCTCCCTTACTTGAGGGTTACACTAGGTAAATAAACTCCTCCATCATTCGCGATATCCGGCTCGGGCCGGAGTATTCATCACACCGCCGTCAGCACATAACACAGGCAGACTTACAATAATCTCAACACTGATCACCTCCCTCGTTCAGTGACCTATCAACTCGCCAACAAACACACCTTAGCTGAATAATCCTCCAGGAAGACAGGGGGAGGCTTAGCTCCCGAAAAGGCTCAATTCGCGAGATAGATCTACCCAAAACGGCGTTGTCACGCTAGCCTCCAGGCTCGGACTCGACTCTGGCCTGGTCCATGTAGATCGCAAGAACGGCCAGGAGGTTGTGGCCCGATTGGACGGCAGACCCAGCGGCCAGCATCCTAAGTGCTTATGGCAGATGTAACCATCAAAGGTCTCACATGCAGCATGCAATCCTTTCAATAGCCTCAAAAATGAACAATGGGAAGAGGCGCGAGAATGCTCGAGTCCAGTACTGGTATCCCGATGGGTTGCCATACTCTAGATCCGAGGCGGTTTCGTTTTCTAAGCGAGCTAGAAAGTTGGATTCTGGTTTAGGACGGTACATGCGAGTGAGATGTCTGTCTAGGGTGAATGGTGCTCTCTGGGTGTGGCCTCGTCAGTAGCTGGTGCGGGAACCCATCTTAGATAATTCAAGAAGGGCATTGATATCCTTCTGCAAAAGCCAGCATCTATGTTCTTCTCTGATCGACTTCTCGTGCTCGTTTAACTCTTCGTCGCTATCTGATGTCATCCGGGTCTCCTTTCGAACCGTCCACCGAGTGCGATGGCTATCGTCGAGACCTCCAGCTCTGAAGAGCTCGTTGTCGACAAGAGCAAGCTTGCCGTCCGGGAAATCGACGAATCCGCCGTTCTAGCACGCTACGGTGTCGAGAGACAAACCGACGGACTCATCAATTGGAAACGAGACTGCAAGACGCATCCCCGGAATTGGCCTCTCTCCAGAAAGGCGTTCGACACCGTGATCATCATCTTCTTTGAATTCTATACGTAAGGCTGCCCGTTGTTATATGCACCGGAGGATAGCCCGAACTAACATCGGTCAGCACCGTCATAAGCACAACTGGAGTATGTCACGTCCAAATCTTGCCCCGTCATAAGCAGAAGCGGCCCGCAGATCGGCAGAACCCGACGGCGTAGCAATATGCCCTGAAGCAGAATCCTCCGCTATATGCTTACTTCTCTGCACTGGAGCGCGATGTTTTCATTTCCAAAAGCCAGCGGGTTCGAAGCGGGATTGGGATCCAATTAGAGACATGCTAAACTTATTCTTGCACAGGCCGTTGCGGCTGCCGAAGCTGGGCCAGAGTACGGACTGAGCCGCCAAGCATCATTGGTTGGCTTCACCCTCATGTAAGATCGAGAGGCCTCGTATAGTACAGTGGGCTCGTAAACTCATGAGAAACAGGTATCAGCTTGGCCAAGCCGTCGCAGGCTTCTTGATACCTCCATTCTCGGAGCTCTACGGCCGTCGAATCCCCTACCTCGTATCCTGCGCCGCATTCTGCTTCTCCTGCCTTCTCACGGGCGTATCGCGTTCATCCTCGGCGGTGTACATCGGCCGCTTCATCGCAGGCCTCGCATCCGCCGTCCCGTCCGTGGTCATCGCCGGCAGCGTGGAGGACATGTTCAACACCAAGCGCCGGGTCTGGATCATCGTCCTGTGGAACGCCGGGGCCGTGATCGGGTTGTGCATGGGGCCCGTCTACGCCGCTTACATCTCAGACGCCCTCGGCTGGCGGTGGATCTTCAACAGCGCGGCCATCGTCACCGGAGCCTTGTCCGTTGCCCTCTTCGGGATCAGGGAGAGCAGGCCCAGCCTGTTGCTAGGCCGCATCATCCGAGATATCAGGAAAGAGACCGAGGTCCAGGATTTGAGCTGGCACAACCCGGACGAGGCGCCCGACTGGAGAGCTCTGGTGCAGATCAGCGTCGTCAGGCCGGCGAGGATATTGCTCACTGAGCCCCTGGTCATCATGGTCGCCCTCATCTCGGCGTCGTCCTGGAGCATGATCTATCTGTTCACGGAGGCGCTCACGATCGTCTACGTCTCACTCGGCTTTACCAGGACGCAAGCCTCACTGCCGTTCCTGGCCATCGCCGTGGGGGTTCTCTTCACCTTTCTGCCTCGCCTTTGGGATATGAAGGTCGTTCGGGACTGTCAGCGCAAGCAAGTCCCCGTCCAACCGTGAGATTCCGCATCGATTTCAGTCATTGACGAGGGGAAAAACAAGCTGACTGTTTCTTCCAGGGAAGACAAGATCATGGGCTTCGCCTTCGCAGCACCCGCCCAGGCCATCGGACTGGCATGGTTCGCGTGGACCATCCCACCTCTCGTCGGAGGCGTCCACTGGATCGTGCCCACGATGTCACTTGTTCTCGTCGGATTCGCCGCCAACGAGACGAGCCACACGCTGAGCGGGTACCTCGCGGATTCCTACCTGCTGTACTCGGCGTCGGCTTTCTCGGGGCTGGCCCTGGTGAGGGCGGTCGCGTCGGGTCTGATGCCGCTCGTGGCCCACGAGATGTACGGCGCAATGAATGCCAACTATGCCGGGACGGTTCTTGCGGGACTGGCGGCAGTGTTCTGCATAACGCCATGGATCTTCTTCCGGTTCAGCAAGCGGTTGAGACAGAGGAGCCCCTTTGCGAGGTTTAGTCTCGAGACGCATTACAGAACGAACGTCGAGGCGAACTGAGCTTCCGGTGTAATTATGCAAAGGAGCATAAAGAGACCAAAAAAAAGTGACGGCATTTGGAAGAGTTGTAGTTTGGTTGCTTATTTAATCGGCCATGTGACTCTGGAGAAGCGTTCGTCTTGCAAGTTTCAACAGGGTTGATAGCGGGAAATCACAGCAGCTTATTCAGTGGGAACCAGTGGAGAAGTTTGTGTTCGGGGTGGTTGCTTTGTTGCTGCGACGAACATGTGTTTGTGTGTGATGTGATGGATGCTGTTTGCATTTCTTGCACTTTCAGCTGAATCCTGGATCCGCCTCATTTAGCGAGCTGGATCCTGCGAGGCCAAACATTTTCGATGCAAGACGCTGAGAGAAGCTGAGTCGCAAGAATTCAGGTTGCATCTATTGGCAGTGAGGAACGCTTTGGCGGAGTCCGGACCATGCCCTTTGCGCGACCTGACTAAGACTGGACGGCATCTCATCTCGGGCCAGTGTCACATCTCGCATTCCCATGTTTCTGAAGCGTCACTCTCTCCGAGACATGCCTCAAACTCTCATTTCTTCTCTCCTCGATGCGCGCCTCGGGGGCTCCTTTGTTCAGACGGTCTTGCGCGCCAGCAAACATTCCCGACGGCCTTGTTGGTGTTTCCTCCTGTTTTCCCCCTTGAGGTGCCTTGATGGGCAGGGCAGGGAGACGGCAGCGCATAAAAATAGCAAATTTCAGGCAAATTTAGCGGCCGCGGACGCTATTATGTACGGGTTTGTTAATGAACAAGACCGTTGTCAGACCACCCAGGCACGGGGCACCCCACAAGTCGGTGACAATCCGCGGACGTCATCATCCTCGTCGAGCCCCTTCTTCGCTCCCAATTTCCGCACCTTTCAGAGGGGGGCCAGGCAAGGCGAGGCCCGGTTTTTCGAAGGATTCCTGACCAGCCTCCACAACCGGGTAACGCAACGGTCAGGTGGTGGTGTTTGTGTGTGCCTCTTGCAAAGCCTCCAACAACAGCGCACCACAAGACCGCAAGCCAGTGGTCCCCTTGACTGTAACATCAGGTAAGGTATGCAGCGATTCACAGATTGGGACCTTCCCGCTCCGCTGACGCCGTCCACCGCTTTCGGCAATAGCAGTGGAGGGTGACATGCTGATCCCCGCTGCTACCCGGGCTTGAATACAGATGAGGCAGGCAGGTATCTGGTATGGATAGGCAGGTACCTGAGGCCTGGAGTGCATCGACAGGCGACAGAGGTGAGACTGCAGAAGGGGCTGGTAGCGAATTAAAATGGTGGCATTTAGATGCAAGCAGGAACAAGCCTGAAATGTCAAAGCCCCGCGGCGATAGGAAAAAACCAAAGAAAAAAAGGAAAAAAGAAACCCAGAATACATGTTTGGGCTGAGTCGAGCAGGGCAAGAAGGTGCTAGCCCCTGCGCCTGCCGCGCCTACCCAATGACAAGGCCCGAAATTGAAGACCCAGCGCGGGTGGTGCCCAAGTATTTTGGCTTCCGCACGCCAATCCTCCCCTCTAAGCCGCCCATGTGAAGGGCGAAAAGTCACTCGCCGGCTGACTGGACCTGTCGTGGTTGGTTGGCTTCCGTGCGGGAACCACCTGGGCAGGTACCTGATTACAGGGGAAGCGCCGCAGGACAGGGTACTTTGTCTGCAGTGGTGGCCTGTCCCGTCCCATTCTCCCCTCCAGACCCCAGGCTCGGGTAAGGAAAGGCCTGGACGGGCAGCGTGGGCGGGCGGGCAAGGCGGGCTGAATTTTCTTGAATTTCTCCCGCCAGGCCCTGTTTCGACTTTCCTCCTTTCCCTTTTCCTCCCTTCAACACCACCATTTTGGTGAAGACAACCGTTTCCCACATTCACCACACTTACCCAGAAACCGACCGCCACCCAATGCATAATAAGAAAGATTCTTACGACAACTCCTGCTCATTCTTCCGCCGTCAGATGCGATATCCGAGCCACAAGAAGACCCAGCGAAACTACGAATCCGAGCCGCGCGCTGATCCCGAGCGACGACGAGGCACGCTCCTTGTGCTTCCCATTTAAACAACCCACGAAAGTGAAGACCACCGCCAGTTTCGGGCGCGAGCGGAGAGCCCCCGCGCGCCCCTCGTTTACGGGCAATATTCACTACTACAAGGAGCGACCTC